ATAATATAAAATAATGAGAAAATATTCAGCCACATAATTTAGGAGATGTGATCCTAAAATTATGAGATTACAAAACTTAAAAATTAATAATATAATTAATCTTAATCTTTGACTAGACTTAAAATAGAAAATTAAGACTAATCTTGCTCCTTAAGAAAGGAAGTCAAATCCAAGGACCATTAAAATAGGAAACAATTTAGGAGACAATCAAGGGATCATAAAGGATTTAAAATCATGCTATCCTTGACTTCTTCACTAGGGATTCATGCCTCATTGCTTGCAAGAGGCTCAACTTGTAATTTTCTTTACATTAGGCTAAGGTTTACATCTCTTGGGTTTGACTCTTCATAGATTGGATCTTAAGCATATTATACACATATAGATGCTCTCCTTTAGGCTTAAGACGAGTGCCCCAATGCCCTCCAAATTCTTGAACTTCTTGCACAAGACTAAATAAGCTTGCTTTATAACTTTAGTTCGGGCTCTTGTCATTGGATCTCTAATATATTATAAAAGGTCTTTAGGCATATTGGATTGAAAGTATTGGGCTCCTCGCTCCTCACTTTGAGCTCCTTTTATGTCACCACACTCATGATTACCATCCTCAAGCTTCGTTGTCATTAACGCTATATTATTCATGTCATGAAATCCATCATAATATTAACTATAAAAATATTGAGATCAAATTTTGATGGGACACATTCCTCCCCCGCCCCACCGCCAATTTTAGTAACATTGACAAGACATATTTTCTTTTTATAATAGGTTTCAGGGGAAATGCCGACTTGGGCAAAAATATGATAAGTACATTCATCAGATTATATATAGTAACTTAAAGTAAGGAAAAATGTATGAATGTTAATAAAGTTATTTTTTTAATATATTTATGATCAAATTGTTAAATTTCATATTCATAGCTTAACAATCAACATCATTGACTTTTAATAATTTAATTACAAATACATTAAAAAACTAATTTCATAAACACTCATGTACTTTTTTCTCACTTTAAACTATTAAATATTTATAACTGACAGTTTTTTAAATATTTTTGCTCATTTACTCTTAACCGGCAACTTTTTCTTAACCTTCTACTTCCATAAATAATAAACAACTTGCAACCACCTTATCCAGATTAAAAAGAGATAATTAAATTATTGATATAGTCTAAAAATGAGAAAAAATAATTTACTTTTGTTAAATGTATCATATTCACTTTTTACTCATATATAAACTTTTAATATACTCATGAAAAATTGGAAAAGTGTAAAATTAGAAGAAAGTAATTAATAGAGTATCTTTTTATCTAATAATTACTTATAAAAAAAAAAGATCATCAATTGCTTCTAAAAATTAACTTATATATAAATGAATATAAAGACTCTAGGAAGAACAGCACAATCCTAAAAATTCAAATTAATGAAGCTTTATGAATACGACAATAATTATTGAAACTTTATGAATGCGACAATAATTATTAAGAGCAACCTTCTTTTGAAGTAAAAGTAAAGAGAAAAAGAAAAATGATCCAATCATGATGAGTTGAGCCAGTTGCTAAAAAGCAGAGTTAATTTGATTATTGCTACCAAAGTTTCAAAATTGTTTTGATGTTAGAGTTGATCTATCGATCATTACAACAATTTACTAAAGCAACCTCTTTAAACTCATCATTTAAAGTCAAACACAAATGATGATCCCCTTTGAACTCATGTATATATTGTACTTTTATGTTTACTCATCACATTCTAATGACCGAAAAAAAAAGGTGATAAATAATAATTATACAATGTTAATCACTTGATTGGCTTCCCATAGGCTATATTACTTAGCTATACTGAGGATCTGTTTCAACTTGAAACACTTCAACATTTATTTCTCTGGATGCTCTATTTGGAAAAATGGATGGATTATAATTATATTGATGTTGACTTTTCTAAAGTATTTATGAGGCAACATTTGTTGTGAATTAATTCTAAAAGGAAGAAAAAGATTTGAATACCAGCTTGAGAGTGGCTGTTTTTCCCCCCCTAAAATTTAACTATTTGGTAGGCAAATAATGTTTTGACTTTTCATTAGGACTCCCAGTTTATGCCCGAATTTGTCATAGGATTGTAGATGATTTAAAAGTTAAAAAAAAAAAGTTAAATGAAAACATCTCTTTAGAGGAGTTTTTTAATATATATGAATTTTAAATTAATGAAATTAAGTCTAATAAGAAGAACTAATCATTTACAATGTGACGAACCAAGAAATATAATTGTATCTTGAAAATGATTATTTGTAGTAGGAACTAGGAAGACATATGTGCACAATAAAATAAAATCTATAAAAAAATTGCATGATTTATAAATATATAAAATAAAATTCTTTGGAAATCATAAGCCACACAATAAACACTAATAGCATATGGTTATGTTTTAAAAAATTAATTAATAAAGATTAAATTTTAAAAATTAAATTAATAATTGAATTAAACGTGAGGAATCAAGATTTTCATTATTATTTCTTTTTAATCTTCCTATATTTTTCAACCCTTGCATTATAAGGTACTCGTCTAGTCAAATCCCCTTAATAGTCATATTCTCTTAATTAATTATATCAATTTGACATATATCCAGAACTCGACAGAAGATTATCTAATACACAGCATTTTGAAAAACTTCTATCTTAACCCTTACTCCTCCAATTCAATATATAAATTATTTTTAAAAATTATAATTTGATTCATTTTATAAGTCATTTGTTGATAAGATTATTTTATTTCAGTTTAAAATTTTTAAATTACTTTAAAAAAGTAAGAGAGATAAAGATAAAAAATAATATTAGATGATTGATTTACTTTTACTTTTTATTTGAGGATTATATTTAAAATTTCATTTACTCTTATTCCTTATACTTTCATCGAATATTGATAAAGTTAGTAGAAATAACTTATGAATAGGATCGAAAAAACTACCTATGCATCTTGAATAATTTTTTTGGTTATTTTCCTCTTTTGAATTTTTCCAAAGAAAAGAAATTATTATCATGGAGGTGACACTGTTATCTTACAAGACCCAAAAAAAAAAAAAAATTCTTGCCAGATTACGAGACAATGGGATTCACACTGTCATTAAAAGTCTCTAGGTTTCTAGATTATTCTAATTGGACCTTCAAAATTTTTAAATCCTATTTTCCTGTACATTGAACTCCAAATTCAGCGAGTTAGTAATATTACCCCCGAGAAGAGTAATATTTAAATAAAAAAGATATTAATCCATAAGTAAATGGAATATTCATATATAAACCACACCTAATTCAACAAAATAGAGTTACTAAAGCAGTAATTCAACAGACTATTATTTTTAAAAAAACTCAACGATATGGTTTCAGATTTAACAATGAGAGAAAAGGAAAATAAAATTCAATATGACCAATTCTGTCCAAAGCTCTTGATGGGACTGCTTGGGAGACTGATTCATGGCCTCATCGGTATTGGTTTGACTTGTCAACTAGAGTTAGGATTTAATATGATTAAACCTAAGCAAGAATACACCAAATACATGCATACATGAAAAGGCAAATTAAATATGTATGGAAGAAAATGGGATTCATGTAGAAGGAATATTGGTTGGTAAGGGGTTGTGTTGAAATTCGCTTAATCTTTTTTCTCTTTTTGGTTTACATTTGTCTTTCTCTATTCCTTCAATCTGAAAAAGAGTGAAAGCTGCTATCTTTTAAAATTCTGTAATTTCGATATTAGAAAGATTGGGACATGTTCTCTTTGAATCTATTCTATTCTGATTCCCTTTGCTTGATTTAGATTTCATTAGTGTCATGCATATTGCATTTCAAGGGTTCAGAAATGGAGCTGAGAATATGAATGTATCTATATATATACACTTGTCATTTCAGCTTCAGCATATTTCAATGCATTATTTTTTTTTAACATTTCATTTTGTTCCTTCTTTTGGAGAAAAGAATGTGAGGCTGGAGACTTTTTTATTCTTCCTTTGCCTATTCTTTTTCTGGACAGGAGGAGAAAATTCATGTGTGTACACGTATCTGTTTACCCCTTTTTAATTTTCTATATATTTTCATATGAAATAAATTCCGTCCCATCAACTAGTTTTTTTTTCAATAAAGCATTTTCATTGTCATTTTAATAACTTATCTTTTTGTCAACATCGCCTGTCTTGTTTGGGATTATTATACCCGTGTTAGAAGTTTCTCAGAAAGTTATATAATGGTCACCCACTTAGTGAGTTTCCATCTTATATTGCTTGCACAAGATTTTTTTGTCTTACCATTAATAGACAGTGAAACTCAGGTTCTGCTAAATTATATTTCTATTTTAAATTTTTAAGCGATAATATTTAAAAAGTTATTCAATTCATGAAATTGTAAATTCTATTTTTAAGGATAAAAAGCCATATAAATTGATGCGAAAAGGTTTTTAATATGATGTGGATGAAAACTGCTGCCATTCCCATAACCCACATTAACAACCTTCGTGTACCACTTTCACAACCCCACCCCCCCAAGTTTAATTTCATGTAAGCCTCTGATATCTGAAGCACAGAGTTGAACATAAAATAGCCGAAAATAGTGGAATCTTCTTGTATACAACGATAAATCAACTATTAATGATTCGGTCAAAAATAATTGATAGTAGTTTTTTTTTTTTTGGTCAATACTTCATACACATATAACCTGGAATTTACATGTGCATCATCAAGTTGATGTAGCTGAATTAGTACTTTCACCAGAGCGACCTATTGAATAAAGCAATTGAATTGAGTTGTAACAAAATGCTTGACACAATCTTCTAAAGACCAGCTCTTAACAGATAACAAACAGCCCAGTCAACTTACCAACATTTCTTAAGCGGGCCCAATTCGTGAACCCAAGTTATTTCAACGAGCCGAGTTCTGCTGAAAGAACTTACCACTCCAAAACTATTTTATTATTCATCCACAAAAATAATGTAAACATTACAGGTCCTAATTAAAAAACATAAATCCGAATCAATAATTCCTTTTTTTATATTGAAAAAAATTGATAACTTACGCTGACAGCTTCACTTGAAAATGATTCCCTCTCGCTCCTTTCGTAATTTAGGTGACAAGCAGCTGAAGGTTCGAAAATTCAAATGGAATTGAGTTGCTATCAATTATTTGGCACCGCACAAATGATCATCTAATACGACCTGATAGCACCAGCCTGTGTCTGAATAATCACAGAAAGCCTCTCTCTCAAAAGTTGACAGATCACAGAGGGTATAGACCAATAAAAAACAAACAAACAAAAAACATGAAAGCCTCAAGATTTTTAAAGGCTTTCCAAGTATGCTAAACATTGTGTCTCCATCGTTCCAGAATTTATTCCACAGCGAAATTTGCACGACGATATCAATGGTGTTCGTCTTCATCATCGCCATGACCATCAGGTGGTCCACCAGGTCCCACCACTTCAAGCTGTTTAAGTACGAAGTAGAATAATCAGTGTCATTGTGTAGCTGAACCCCGTTGAAAACACTGGATTGATAATCCTATTAGAATTCTAAACCGACCATACAATTTTTTCTTTGAAAAAACTGACAACACAATTCTAGTTAAAGTTTATTCTGAATTGTATTATTCTCTTAAGAGGTCTTCAAGTAAAAAGTTCTTTACAGCAAAATTTGGACCCATGACAACAGGGCCAATGCCCGCTGGCAGCAATTTTTAAGGTCACACCCTCCGCCAATCTCTAAGCAACCATAATATTAATAAGACGAGATGTTATAAATTCACCATTTAAAGGGAATCTTGTACCACAAACGCCTTATTGTATACGTACAAAAAGTTAATCCACTAGATGGTGCTATTATGTACAGTAAATATAATTGTATTTAATGTGGGCAAATATCATGTCTCAGAACTAGACACCAACTAATTGATACTTCAAGTCATTAACGACAGAAGCAGTGGATTAGAGATATCATATTCAGGAAGAACTTTAATCGATTACGAAGCTTAGCCTAACTTGTGAACTTTACGGTTCATGGGCTTGTTTCACAGTTAGTGCATAAGTAGATATGGTTTGAGCTGGTCTTAAGCTAAATACAAATTTGATTCAAATTCAAATCAGGTTGATGCTATTACCATACGGTACGACATGAGGCCAGAAAGTTGTTGACTTTTGCCTCATCATCTACGGTGACCAAAACCGAAACCCACATGAGTACCAAGGGGTCATCAACGTAAAAGAAAAAGAACTTGACTGATACACTACTAGTCCAAGCAAGGCAAGCAGATCCTGCAGAAACTGTCAAAGGGACTCACAGTCCCTAAAGACATTACAGAAGCAGTCTAAGTTTATTAACCTCAAGGTAAGCAGCGGCACTTGGCACTTGACACTCAGGCCTCAGGGAGCCATTTTGTAGAAGAAAATAGATTCCCTTATCAGGCTTGTCCCTTTTACCAAAATGACTACTATTACCATTACTTAACAGCAACCGTCTCTTTTTATGAAATTTTTAAGGGGCAAAGAATACTTTTGTCATCTACAAATTCCCCTTTCTTAAAAAAAAAATCCAATCTCATTCCGTTGAATGCACTAAATGTGCACAAGTGCAAGCAAGTTTGCTAATAAATAGGCATCTTTTAATCTATACTTAACTCCAAAACGTCATCAAGGATAATATTAGAAGATATATTATATGTCAATCCAGCTTACCACAAAATACTGAGAGCAAACTGGACATTCATGAGGCTTGTCTTTCTCCAGCCAAAACCAGACTACATCATGCTCATCCTCTGCAGTCAAACAAGTTGTTCACCTCAATGCTATCACCAGATAATACTATTTTTTATCAACTAGTGAAAGGAGACATGAAGATAAGAAGCACCTACCACCTTCACCTCCTGGGCATCCAACTATTCTCTTGTCATAGTAAGACTTTACAACAGCAGGTGCTTCCTATGAAACAAAGCAAATGATGAAAATAGATATTGATGAAACATATTTCAAATCATTATATTTAACAAGTCAAACAAAACTGAAAGTAATATTTCCACTTTTAGCAAAGAAAGAAAGAAACAACAAACAGGAATTTCACAAGAGACATCTCCGTTTGTCAAAAAAAAAAATGGAAAAGGAAAAGGATTAGCAGCCTAATATGCCAATTAATCTAGAGGAAGCCTGGATAATCTCAGAAGTCAGAACCTATCTGATAGGCAATGAAATAAGGGCGGGCATCAAACCCTTTGTAAGAGAGGTCAAGAGGAATTTTTCGTTCCTAAGTTTATGCTGCAAAGAGACAATTCTATGGTCAGTTTATAACACTTGATTAGCATTCCAGCCTTGTGCTTAACCTTTCTCTTTGCAATAGAGCATATAGAAGTGATACAGCATTACCGTTTATCAAATAGACTTGGTCATAATTCCTATGACAACCATGGAAAGCTATGATACAAGTACAGCATAAACATCATCATGCTCATTACATGCCATGAAGATCATGATGTCAGTTGTTAACACCTAGATTTAAGACATATAAAAATATCCATCCATACATATTCTTCCCATCATTCTACATCAGCATTTCCAATGATAAAGGATTAACCAAAGTTAGTTAATTGAATTTGTGAAGATTGGATCAGCTCAAAAAGAATTTATATCTAAATACATGCAACAACGGTTTCACAATACCTTGCTGCCATTTGTACTCTTAAGCACATATCCATAAACATATAAGTAGCTATATATCATTTCCAATGATAAATGACTATTCAAAGTTAGTAAATTGAATTTATTCAGAATTGACACGTTCAAGAAATATTTATACCTAAATGCATGCATCAATGGTTCCATAATACCTTGCTACAATCGTGTACATTAATCATACATTAATAAAAAAAAAAATAACTATATGTCATCATAGGGGCAAAAACAAATTACAATATGCATAGATTAAATAATTTTATAAATAGCTGGGCCATTGAAATTCCAGTTAGGGGTGTCTTAAATTGCATGGAAATAGAAGATTAAAATGTTACGTTTAGGGATTCTCCTAGCTGAGGAAGGTGCAATACTGGCTTCAGAGACTAAAGTGCAGCTATATAGCTATCCAGAAAGAATCAACCATTGGATTACCACCTAACGTCTTGGAGAATCAATAGACACTAAAACCATAGGCTTTTTAATTGAAATTTAATGCATCTCATTAGAAAGGTTCAGTAATACAAACATCACATGCATTTTCAAGGTGCAACAATTAATTTAGACTAGTTGTGAGGAAATAGTTGGAAGGAGAAAATAAAAACAGATTTTTTGGTAATATAAAAAACGGAAATTTAAAACCTAAATAACTCATTCGTCTAAATATATAGGAAATTACAAATTTGAAGATTCAATACACAAAGTTATAAGAATTCATAGTATTGTTTTCATAATTTCTTTTTGGGTGCAAAGTCAGTGGCATGGCAACAAGCTACAATAAAACCAGAATTAGCGGTTCACAATAAATACTGAATACTAACCTTTGTCCCAAAAGGACCCTCGGGATAGTCTATATCAAGAAGCTTCTTTCCCTAAACAAAACAGACAGATAAAAGGAGAGAATCATTGCTCAAAAGTTTAAAAACAAAAAGTAATTCTACAGATAACTCAATATCGAATTACCAACGAAAACAGGAAAAAAAAATCTGTTAACAAATCCAGGGACACAAAACCGCCCCATGAAATTATAAGTTACAACCAATGTTTGAACCATTTTCTGAGTACAGAGCAACCAAACCATAAACAGTGACGTCTTTTGAAACAATGGGAAAGAGACAGGAAGGGAGTCACCTCAAGCTCGGCCTCAAGCTCCTCGCGCTCATGCCCAGTAGCAATAGGCATTACATCCTCAACCTTCTTTTTAACCACATTATCCCCTACTAATCCAAGAATGTCAAATCACGCAAAGAAGGAATAAAGAAAAGGAGAAACGCCCATTCGAAAAATTAAAGAGAGAGAGAGAGAGAGAGAGAGTGCCCACCAGACTCGGTGCTGAAGTGGCGGCTGAGGAAATAGGACGATGGAGAAAGACAGGAAGAATTGTGGAGAGTGAATCGGGCAGCGATGGGAGCAGATCGGGAAGGAGGAGCAGAGAGTGTAGCTAGGGATTTGAGGTGAGAAGAGACAAGTCTCCGCCACATGGTTTAGATGTAATTATTGAAGTACCCTGATTTAGGGTTTCTGATCTCAGGTCACGCCCTGCGGAGTGGTTGGAAGACGGAGATTGAAGACAGTTCAGAAATGGAGGAGCAACTACGTTTGGGGAAAAAATGGCGGCGACGATCCTCCCTGGAATCGAAGGGTAGTAGCGTGGGTACATGTGTGAGCTCTCGAGTTGGGCTCGGCTCTGGCGTTGACTCGCACGTGAGAGTCGTTGACTTCATGTGTGAATTTAATCAGTTTATTTATTTATTTAAAAATTAGTTTTTTCTTTACTCTCGTATCCAAACAAGAAACAAATTTTTTGTTAGTTAATCTTAATTTAAAATATAAAAAATTTATTATTTTTAAATTTCTTTTTTGATTTTACCCTTGCATTTCTTAACCTCCTTTGAAAATTTATCACATCTTTCTTAAAGTAGGGATATTGAAGGAAGGAGTATAGTTTTGTTGTCCTACTACATTTTGATAATTCAAAAATACCCCTCTCCAAATAAAACATAACCTTCTTCATTTTCTACCATTATTCAACACCATAGTCCCAACTATGACTTGTAGTAGTGTCTCAAATAGATCCTCTTTCTCAAGATTAAAATTTACACCCTTAGTTAACAATAATTGTCACTTGAAGTTTTCAAGAGTTTTTTTGGCCATTTTACCCTTCAATTATATAATAAATAAGATGTGTTTAATTTAAAACACTATTATATATGAGAGAATTTTAGTGAATTACACAGTAAATTTTAATAAAAGTTAAGTATTCATTATCTTTCTTAATTTATTCGTACAACGTAACTTTAAAAATGAAATGTGATCAATCTTCCTTCATATGCATATTCTTTTTTAACAAATGACATTTTCCATGGTTTGTGCCTTCGTGGCGTAAGAGGAGAAGATTGATAAAAATTATATGACACTAATGGAGAAACATATATATCCAAGTCCGTGAAGTACTAAAGGGAATACGGTAAGCGAGAATATTGAGTGTTTTTAATTATTATTCTTAAATATTTTTCTCTCCTCTTGTAATTTATTATTTTTTTACACTCCTCCTGGTCTATCTTTTGCATCATATGAAGGGCCATGAAACTAAACTTATGAGGCAATTGGACATAGGCAGAGCATATCATTCAAAATGGGATATGCACGTAATATTCCTTGATCAATAATCACTGATCGCCATAAAAAATATACAAATACGGTCACTGCTAATACTAAAAATGTATTACACTAAGGAATCTACCATTAGTTAAATCACTTAACATAAATTATGTCTATACTGAAACGGTTCTTATCTTAATGATTTCAAGACTCAAGGGTCAAAATACTTGATCTCAAATATATGGCACTTTTTGCGTTCATTTTTTAGCTAGTTATAGCACTGTTGATTAGGTGAGATTACTTTTGTATGAAGTGATTATGCTTCGCTTCATTTTTATGTCTAGGGAAACCAATTTTTATCAACCCTGCCTTATTGTAGAGGTGTGGTGGATGATGAGAGGAAAAGATCTTTTGTATTTGTATTGAAGCACTTTGTGTATTTTTTTATTTAATTAATGTGTCTCTTTTCATTAAAAATTAAAAAATATGCTGCACTTAGCTTGAGAGAGAATTGTAATGGTCCAAATTATGAACCATTGATCTGAATGTATAAAAAATTAAATTACTAGTATTGTTTTCACTCATGCCCTTTAATAAATATGCTACATAAGTTTCATCACCCGCACCTAGAGAGATTATTGAAGTTAATTAGGTCCCATTTAATTATTAAAAAGGAATGGAATAGAATGAATTAAAAATATCAACACAAAAATAAACTAAATCATCTCTCCTCCTTATAGTAATAGTAAGTATGATAAAAACTTGTTAATATATACTATAAATATGAGAATCATCACACCCTTTAAAAATTTTATAAATCATAATTTTTAACCTCATGAACTAAATTATTTCTCTCCTTTATAAATTTAGTTTACTATTTCTTTTGGTTATCTTATTTTTACTTTTATTTTTTTAATCCATTCCATTCTATTTCTTTCTCGTAATCAAACATGACCTTAAGGATTATTGAATTAATTGCAGAAGTTTACCCATTTAATTGTGGCGTATAACAATTTAACGAGTTTAATTGTTTTAACTGTTATTCTTAATTTTAATGAGGTAGGTAACAGTGATCAACTCCCTTTTACCTTTCAAATACACTTTTAACTATTTCACATCAACTAAAAAATAATAATTAAAATATTTAAAATTGTTAAAAATATTACCATACTTTTTAATATTATTTTCTAATTAGAATCAATTTATTTTAATTATTAATAATTTATTCGTTGCATGTTTATTTCTACAACATAATTAATAAGAGTATTGGAGAAAAAAGTAAATAAAGTTATTTATAGAGGAGTAAAAAGGCTTTTTAGAATGTAACTTATATTAAGCGCTAGTATACACTCCCTTCGGTAATATCGCGTATTTTAGAATTCTTTAATTTAGTTACTTATGAGATATTAATTATATATTTTTAATATTACTTCCGTTTAAACTCATAAACAATATAATGTAAACTTGAAAATTTTTATTTTTAAATAGAGATAAATTATAAATTTATTTTCCAGACAAATTTAATAATTTAACTGTCTCTTCTTAATTAGAATGAGATAGTTAGAGTTGTCTTATAACAAAAATTAAAGGGATTAAATTCATTATATCTTCATATAAGGTACCATCGGTTGGAACAATTTTGAGTCCTCGCATGACTATATATATATAAATTCACCATCCAATATTTTTTCCCCTGTAATTTTTTCGTATCGAAAAGCACGCCAGAACTTAATTACCAATGAGCGTATAGCTTATAGCCGCTGCTGATAGTAGACAATATAAACCCAGTAAGTTATTTTGGGTTTGAACTTTAAGTGTATAAATAAGATAAAATCTTGTCAGCTAGTTGTCATTATTAAAAATAACAAAAGTCTCATATAAAAAAAATTAAAAGATGAATCATGAATACAAAAATCTTAAGATATATCTAGACTTAAGTTATTTTGATAAAATAATCTATTCTTAAACATTAATTCTTAATATAAAAAATATAATCCTCGCTTCTCTGATTATCTCCAATTAGATTATAATTTGTGGAAATTTAGGAAAAATTAATTTTTGTAATCTTAACATAATTATAACTTTATTCTTAAATTTTGATTCATTATAACTTAGTTTTATAATTTTAACTCGATTATAATTTAGTATTTTCTTATAATTTAGTCCCTATATTTTAATTTAATTAAATATTAATCTCTATATTTTAAAAAATAAAATTATAAAAATTAAAAATATTTTAAAATTTAAATGTTCATAATATTTAGAGATTAAAAAATTAAAATCATAATATTTTAAAATATCTTGAACTTTTAATATTTATAATGTTAGTAATAAAATTATAAAGATTATAATTATGTTAAAATTTATCAATAATATTTTAAATTATTAAACCCTTTTAATCTTTATAAATATTAAAAATTTAAAATATATTTAATCTCTATAATTTTATTTTTTAAATTATAAGAATTAATATTTAAGTAATTGAAACTAAAGGAATTGAATTGCAAAATGTAATGTTCAAGAATTGAGTTACAATCGAATTAAAACTATAAAAACTACTCTCTCCACTCCTATATATAAAAAGTCTTCTAAAACATTTTTTATATAAACAGTTGTTAACATATTTTTTAATGAATGGACCTTTATATTTTTATTAAATTAGAAAGAGAAAAAAAGTACTCCCATTAATTTATTTTAAAAAAAGATTTATTTTTTATTTACAATAATTAGGAGCAAAATTAAAATATTGTTGTGTTTTTAACTAGATAATCAACTTTTATTAGTTTACGTGATTTGGTTAAAAACATCTTATATATAAGGACGGAGGAAGTAAGTTACAGTGAGTCAAAATTTAGGAGTCAAATTATAATTGAATCAAAACTATAGAGATTGAATGACTAATTTTTTAAAAAATTTAATGTAACTTTTATAACATGACTAAGTAGTACAATATAAAAAAAATAAACAAGTCATAGAAGGGAAAAACTTTCCGAACAAATTTGCTTATGAAAAACCCCACCATCTGTAATGCATTTATTACATGAATGCACATAAAACTTAAAATTCACACAAAAGTAACGCTTCTCTTGGCTCTATTATTACAAGATTATCTCTGTCAAGACTGTAACTAATGTATTTATAACAAGCTATTTGATAAGCCTTTAAAAGTGCACAAGCTCACTATATTCTCAGAATCAATTCAATCAACGATGTCTAAAATAATGAGCACTCAACAATTTGACATCATCTAGAACAGGTCCACAAAGCGAGCCATCAGTCTTCATGCTATAGAATGTGCTAAAGAATGTGATGCGAGTGCGAGACGACGCGGCCTTGAACCGAAGCTTCCCTCTTACAAACCCTCCTTTTCCCTTAGAATCATAAGAAACCTTCACGGTTTCTTTGCCTGCAAATGCCTCCACTGTCATGGAACCTTCACAAGCGTTGTTAGCATCACCCACAGCAAATGACAGATCATAAATCCAGCCAGTCTGTGTTCTGACCACTTGAGCAATGGCACTCTCTTTCCCTGCAACAAGTTCAATGGCTCTTTTGCCCTTAGGCACAAAGAAGTGATCAGAGTCTATGTACTTCACAGACTTGAGAGACTCTATTATCCATCCTGGTAATGGGCTGTGAGGATCATCCATGTTGGGTGGGATCAAGACCCCACAATTTGTAACGTTTGGGAACACATATGGACCGTCCTCAAAGTCTCCATTTTTCAGCAAATTCTCTGGAACACACAATACAGAACAAGCAATTCAGTTAACTATTGTTAAAAACCGGTGTATTATACAATAACAAGTTTTATCCCATTAGATAGGATCAGTTATATGAATTAAACTTAATTAGAAAATCAGTGGTGGAAGAATTAAATCGAGAAGTTATTTTAAGTGTTTGGGTGTTTGTTATCATTTTTAAAAAAAAAAGGAAAATGAGAAAATCGCTGTGATGTAACTAACTTTTAAATATTTATTGTGATCTCTTCTAAATGAAAACATGACAGTGGGATACATAAGAAGGTCAAAAGTCTTTTCCTTTTCTTTTTTCATTTATTGTAAAACTTGACAATAAACATAGGTTCACTGAATTTTTTTTAACTGTTTGGATCTTAAATTTCTTCACGACCTTGGAAGAAAGTTATTATATATATGCATAAGGTCCTGAGAAATTAACCACTTTGCTTCCCTCTCTCTTTTTCTTTGGATTCTTCCCCTTCCTTCTCTCCCTTACTTTACAGATCTATCCTAACAATTAAATTCTCCCTCAATTTTTGTACTTGATAAAATATAACACATGCATTGACATAATTTTTTGGAAAAAATATCAACCAAGGATCGCTCATGTAAATTTATATTAGTCAAGAATTACATATTATCAAAATCTGAATAGATACTCGTTGATTTAAATTAGCCTTTCATCAACAAGTATTCATTCAGATTTTACAAAAATTCATTCTAAATTAACAAAAAATATATTCAAGCTTGTTTTTTATTCGGGTTTTGACAATAATTGGTTTTTGTTTGCCAGCAATCCCTTGATTTCTATTTTTCCTTTTTTAAAAAAAAAATCTTTTAAAGGATCAAAGCAGTACCATAAAAATGAAACTCAAAAGCCCACCAACAAGTTACAACTCTAATTTTTAAAGTTTTGTATAAAATTCTTGATGATGAAGATCAGATGCAAGCATGCATGATATATTCTTAAGTTTTTTGGTTAAAGAATTTACCATTTGTTCTCTTAGAATGGTTCAAGACCGCCAAGGCAACAGAATCAACAATGGGTCCACAAGCAGGATGTTCCTCCGCACCAGTATTATGAATCACAATCTCCACATCTGAGTTATCTGCTCTGAACCCACAGGCATAAAAATCCCATCCATGGCTACTATGCACTGTCTGAATCGGAAACACACCCCAGTTCCTCTTTTCATATGTGGGAGTCACGGACACATTGATCTTCTCTTCTTGTGCACATGTACGACCTGCACTGAACGTTATGGAATAGAACATTCCCTTGACAAGCTTCACCTTCTGCATTATGGAGGCTTCGTTCCCAAGCCTAACAGCAGAGGCTCCCTCGGGCACAAGCAGCACCATGTCATCTTGTTTCTTTCCTGCTTTTATGTACTCAACGAAACCAGAAATGGTCCATTCAGGTATGGCGTCGCGAGCTGTGACTACAGTGCCCTTCAGTTGTGATGGCTTAGGGCCAAGCTCGAAGTTGCCATTGGGAAGTAAACCTGAAAGTAGCAGGAAGAAGATAGAGAAAAATAGCGATTAGTCTTTCATTGCGGTAATTTGTCAAGCACATGGGAAACATGGGAGCTTCTCCTTGATCAGAAACATGTATATAAATATCGAATTTAGAGGTAATTACCGTCAGGGATGGAAAAAATGGTGTGGCACGTTGCTAGGAATAGCAGCAATAGAAGTTCAAGCTTCCGCATTCTGATGCTTATCAAACTGATGATGAGCAGGCTTGAATTAATGAAAGTGCAGAGAGAGAGGGAGAGAGAGAGATTGAAATGTTGTGGGGGAGATCAAGGGGTGAGGGCGACAATGGTTTATATTTGAGTTAGGAGATGAAAATGCCACTGACTTTGAAATGAAATTATGAGAATGCCACTGGAAGGGTTCTTAATTTTTTATGTGCAAGATGGAAAATTGGCAATTCCCTTGAAGAAGTTTTGGATATTAACAAATTTTTCTCTTTGATACGTGCACAAAAATAAACCATGTTATTCACAAGATTTATAATCAGTGCGATTTATTTATTGTTTTGGAGTTTGATTTCTAATTTTTAATATACTAAATTTTTTCATAATTATAGTGCATTTTTGACTAATTTATGTTTCTAATAAATTAATTAGTAGTTAATGACATTTAAGATTATATATTTTTTGTATGTTTGCCATTATTTAATTTAATATCTCAATTAAAAAAACCTCATTAATTACCTCCACTAATTAAGGGCATTTTTTAAAAAAATTATTAATTATATCTCAAAAAATTCAAAATAACTCACCCTATCGGTCCAACTAATCAAAATTATAAGACATTTTAAGTTTCAATTGAATCAAATTATCAATGAGTTAGTTAATTATTTTTAAAATTACACACTCTTTCCATATTTATTCTTATTTAATAGAGCATTTCAATTAAAAAAATATTAATTATACTTTAAAAAATCTAAAATGATTTACATGATATTCAAAAAGATAAGTGTCTTATAACACTGCATGGAGGAAGTATATTTTGTAAGAATTAAGGAGATAGATGTCGTTAAATCATTAACTCTATTTAAAAATAACAATAAATTTTTAATTTTACCAATATTTAGAAAAAAAAAATTAAATTTACATTTCATTAATCTCTCTTATAATTGATGAGTTTAAATAGAAATAAAGTTAGAAAATTAGAATGAAAAATTAATTAATACTTCTCCGGAGTATTGAGGATCACCAATCTCTTTTTCTTATTGACTGATCACCAATCTATTATTTAAAAGTTTCCTTATTATAAGGAATGAAAGAATATGTAATAACAAAGTAAAATAAGAACAAAAAAAAAAAAAGTAAAATAAGACTAAATGAATCTAAAGATGAAAGTGTGTGTGGCCAACGGACAATGCGAGGCTGTTTCGTATTACCTTCTTGTTAGATAATGCAAAGAAATGAAAGGCAGCGAAGTGCCCGACTGCCCATAAGATTTATTTATAAAGTACAGTAGTCCATGTGTTTTCTTACAGTTGCTGATTTTTAATTCTATATTTAATTTTTTGACTAATTATAATAATAGTGTCGGCAATAAATATAAACTTTATGGCATTGTTATCAAGAATATGACATTAAATTAGGCGTAATATCAACGATATAGCTTCGTTTTTGTACGAACATTAGGAAGCAATTATGGATAAATTCACATGCGATACTTGTGTATGTGGCTTTAGATTCAAACAATGAGCATACGATGACTTGAAGTTCCATGTTATATTTTGTTTTAAATAAGTAAGTTTTAAGTTGTTTTTATTTTATTTTTTAAAACATACTATATTTGATTATTAAAATTACAATTAATTTGATCAATTTTTATCATAAATCACAATCATTAATTACATATAACCATCATTATCAGTCTACTTTTTTAATTTTAAATTTGTTTTTAAATTAACATAACCAAATGAATTTTTATTTTATTTTGTTCTTAAAAATAATTTTAAAAATTGTATTACAAAACAGTTTTTAAAAATAAAAATGACAACACAAATCAAACATGCCCTTACACTACATCCACTTTTTTCTTATTACACTGTATTTTAAGGTGGATCTTACTATGATATTAAAATTCATTTCAACCAAGGTGCCTAGTTCAATTAATCATGAGAATTGAATCAACTTATTTTGGAGTCTCGAGTTTAAGTTTCAAGATATACAATCATGTTAAATAAATATGTTAAAAGCATTTTTGAGATGCTTGTGAAGCGATCATTGATAATAACAATCCTTTTAGATTAGTCTCGCTAGGAGGTGATAATAATCCCAAGTTTTCTAGAATATCAAGTGATGAAATAAAAAAAAAATTCAATTTAGCGTGGCCACGAACCAGTGAATGAGTCCCAAGTTGGTTTAGTCGAGAGTTTTGGACAAGTCAATTGAGTTAAATTTTCCATATTTTTTCTCCATTTTAAATATAAACTTGAAATGACATCGTTTTAAGTTAAAAGATAAAATATATATATATATATATATATATCAGCACATACATTAGATTTATACTTTAATAACTATGTTCGGTTGGATTATACATATCTATACTTGCGACAAGGATACAGTACTCCATTGCATCCTTGAGCCCAATCTCTCTAGTGATAATTCGCATCGCTTAGCTTTCTTCTCTTGTTCGTGTTTGGAACAAAGGTCTCTCGTGTCAGGAATACTAATACATGGCCTTGCTGGTTTCAGTCTCTCTATACATGAATATTCTATTTACTTGCGGATTAATTTTTTTAGTTAAACAGTCCTCTTTTTAGTTGTTAGGCTTATGTATAACTATTTATATAAATAAATTATATTATATTATTTTAATTAAAATTGGGTTGATCTTGATTTAAATTCGATTGGATCATTAACTCTTGAATAACTATATTGACTAGTTCAATTTTTAATACTTTTTATATTTTTTTCCAACCACCTTGGATATTACACTGCACAAAAATGAGTACTCAAATATGCAAGGAGAATTTATTTTTCTTTTTACCAACTTTTTTTTATGGATAAATCAAAATTGATCATTTCATTCATCACCAATTAAGTTTTGCAAATTATTGTTTAACATTGTTGTATGAACATTTTTTGCTGGCGGAAAGTATGAACATATTTTTTTTAGCATGAGAATAATGAAATTTCAAGGGTTAAAGATCATTCCCCCCCCCATTATTTGTTTAGAAGTTTTTGATATTCTAAATTTACATGTCTTGCAATTTTATCCTTAAACATTTAAAAATAATGCACTGGACATTCTGTAATTAAAAAAGTTAATTTTAACTGTTAGTTGATTGAAAGATTACATAAAAGGATTTATAAAATTGCAAACAAATACTCAATGAGAAAATTAGTAAAAATTAAGTTTCTAAAATAATTGTTGATCAAAATTGTATTTTGACTTTTTACATGGGTAAGAAATAACATTTGTATCTTATTATTTATATGTAACTTAAAGGACTTAATTTATATTAATTTTCTTATAATGTATTTATGTGAAACTTTATGAGCTATTTTTTTTATAATTTTTGAGATATTTTTTAAAATTTTTTTAATCAACTAACGATTAAAGTTAAAAGTTTTAATGACAGGGTACTCAATATATTATTTTTAAATATTAAATAATAAAATTACATCATTTATAAATTTAAAGTACTACACGCTTCTAACTGAATAAGTTAATGAATAAAAATGATCTTTAATCAAAATTTCAAATGATGATATATCAATGGAATGGGCCCAAACATGGGCGGCCTTCTCGTAGTTTAGTAGTTGAATGGAACAAGGGCCTTCAATCCTTGAGCCGATGATCCCCCTGAAGGATCATATATAAAAGAACAACTATACAAATTGACTTGTGAAAGTAAGAGTGACCCTAGAAAATTTCAGAAGTTATACTTGTAAATTTTATTTAAAAAAAAAGTAGGCATCAACGTAATACTAAAATACAATTCATGAACATAAAGTGATCATGTCACAGAGAAACTAAAGAAATGATGCTGTGCTGTTTTCCCCGTTTGTATCTAACAGTTTGGCTAGTTAATGCCTTGTTTGATTTGTTGGAAGCACTTATGATCATGAAACTGAAATTAAAAAGGAAAAGAAAATGAAATTGAAAAACAGAAACAAATTGCTTTCAAAAGCATATATGGTAATTGGAAAATCCTAATTAATCTTGATTTGATTTTTTTTTATTTTGTAAAATGAGTATGGAGAAGAAAGCCAAAAATATTAAAAAGACTATTGTGCCTCTAAAATCGAGCCAGTAAACAAAAAGGCCTGATTCTTATGGGTTTGTCCCTTTTTATTAAGGTTTTTAATAGGAAAAGTGACAATTACAAACCTTGTAAAGACATTAATGACCATCGAAAGTCTTAAATTATTAAAATGTCATGGAAGGATTATAAGCACTATTTTAAAATTAAAAAAACTATTGAAATGTGATTCATGAAGTTAAATAATATTACTTGTTAATTAATAGAATGTCAATTGTAAATGAATAGATATTTTTATAAATTTATATAGAAAAAATATCAATCAAGAACCGTTGAAGACATTTAATAGCAAATAAGGATTAAAAGATTTTGATATATCACTACAAGATTAGGAGACAAATTTAAAAATAATTTTATAAGAAAAAAGATTATGATACCCATGTTTTTTTAACCTCTCTATTGTTGTCGGTGATTGAAGCGCCACCATCACTGGCTGGATGGTTGCCAGAGCTTTGGCATCAACAACCAATTAAATCCTCTTAGTAGACAAGAAGGGTTTTGATCTCAAGACGCCTTAGTCACCCAAAGGTTGAAAAACCTTTAGTTAAATGTGGCAAAATTTAATTTGTGATGTCTTCTGAATTTTTCAGTTTCCAAACCATATATTTATTTAAACAAGTATCCATTCATTAATTAATAAATATTCATGAGTATTTAATAATTCATTCAGTCATTGATAAGTTCAAAAATCTAACAGAGTTTAGTTGTTAAAAAAGACAATTGTAAATCATGTTTCAGCAAGTAATTAGTCATTCATTAATTAACAAGTGTCCATGTATTTTTAATAAGAAGTCATTCACTAATTGACAAGTTTAAACATTTAAAAGAGTTTGGTTATAGGAAAGAATAAGTATAGATCATGTTTTAATAAATAATCATTTGTTATTAACAAATATCCATGTGTATTTAATAAGATAAGCCATTCACTAATTGACAAGTTTAAAAATATGAAAAATTGGTTATGGGAAAGAACAAGTGTAGATCATGGTAAAATAAGAAGTCATTCTTTAATTAACAATTACTCATATGCATTTAACAAAAAATTATTCGCTAATTGACCTACACTTGTCCCTTCCAAAATACAATCTATTTTATATTTTTTAACTTGTCAATTAACAAATGGTTTTTTATTAAATGCGCACGGGTGCTTGTTAATTAATAAATAATTACTTGTTGAGACATAATCTACACTTATCCCTTCTCATCACCAAACTTTTTTAAATTTTTGAACTTGTTAAATAGCAAATGACTTATTGTTAAATGTAAATAGGTACTTGTTAATTAACAAATGACTACTTATTGAAACATGATATATACTTGTCCTTTTTCAAAACCAAGCTCTTTTATATTTTTGATCTTGTCAATTAGTGAATAGCTTCTTGTTAAATATGTATGGATCTTTGTTAATTAATAAATGGATACTTGTTAAAACAAATATATAGTTTGAAAACTAAAAAATTTAGACGGCAACTTATATTAAATTTTGCTATATATAATAAAGGGGCCTCAATGGCTTGGTGGCTCTATAACCTTTTGGTAGACAAGGAGCTTCAGTGATGTTCGCTGGTGACAATGGGGCTCTAGTCAGTGGCAATCTAACGACTGATAATGATGGAGAGATTTTTTTGTTTAAAAAAAGAAAAGAAAAGCAAGGGTAATCTTTTCTCATCTAAAATTATTTTCAAATCAATCCCTTAATCTTGCAATAATATTTCATAATTTTTTTATTCTTATTTAATTTTAAATATCCTCAGTGGTTTTTGAATAATATTTTTCCATTTATATATTGTCACTTATGAATTTAATAATAGTCACTATTGAATTTTAGGAAGGTCAATAATAAATTTATAAAAATTCAGTTGTAAAAATGAATAAATAGTCTCATGAATTTATACATCACTTGTGACTCAGAGAGCCAGTTGTGAATTTAAGGAATATTACTTGTTAATATATGAAGCATCAATTGTGAATGGATATGGATAATGTCAATTATAAATCAGCGATTTAAGGACCTTCTCATGTTTTGAAATATGAGAATATTCATTCATAGCTGACTTTTTATAAATCTATATGTAATTTTTTAAAAATTAACAAGTGGTTCTCCTTAAATTTACTAGTGATGAACTGATGATGTACATGAAACTATCTATCTATTTACAATTGATTTTCCATTTATTTACAAGTGATCTTTCTTAAATTCACAATCTATTCTCCTTAAATTCATGAGTGACTTTCTATTGTTATTTCAATAATTAGAAATATTTTAATTACAAATAAAAATCATGGTCCTTTTCTAGCATTTTAATATTTTAATACCTTCAATTATCATTAATATCTTTACAAGCTCCTTAACTGTTATTGTTCCTTCTAATAAGACAGATTGAATAAGTACTGTGTAGTATCTTCGTTTATTTAATTTTTATCCCATTATATTGAACTTTTATTTAGATTTTAATGATACACAACATTCAATAGACACATAAGGAAGTTGTTAAAAGATACTGAAAAAAATAACTTTTAGTTATTGAAATTTGCCTCAATTATTAATTCAGTATTTGAAATTTAACTCATAATAACTCATTCTCTCTTATTTATTTACTAGAAATAACTTAATCCTTATAATTTTTTAATTTTATAACTCAGTAGTTTCCTAATAAATATAAGGAAAAAGTTTTGGTGAGTGTAGAGAATATCTCTCTTAAGATACCGAGAGCAATATACAAACATCTTTCAACTAAATTGTTATATCCACAAGGGTTGCAGTGTAAATTCTCAATCACTTACTTAAGTAATGACTTTACTACTCACTTCAACTTTAGTTGGTTTAATTTTTATATGAACAACTTTTGTTAGTTAAATCAGTGTTTTTAATTACTTAACTTAATGAATAATAAGGATTGAGTTTATACTAAGTTAAAATTTAAAATTAAATTGATAATTAAAAGAGAGTTTAAGAATTAAGAGTTATATTATTCATGAAGTATTACAATAAGCTCTCGAAAATTATCTTTTAGAATTTTGCTTTTACAAGTTTATAGAATACTCTCTTCATTTCAAATTATAAAATGTTTTCAGACAAAATTACACATACTAATAAAGTTTATTAAATGTACTTTACAATTTTATTTTTTTTAAGATAAAAATATAAATTTTCAAAGACTTTTCATTTAATACTTTATTTGTTAAATAACATTAAAGAGAGAGAATATATAAAAAATGTAATATTAAAAAATATTATTAATAAAATTTTATTTTTATTAAAATATTTTATATTTTAAACACTTTTTAAAAATGCCTTATAATTTAAGATAAATTTAAAGTAAAGAAATGGATAATTGTATGACCAATCAACTTTTGAAGTTACACATGGCTTCCTAATTTGAATTAATTTGGTGATGTGGTGGATTTGCAATTACAATGCACAATCTCAGCATAATTCACAATCAATCCAATCAAGGATAACGAACACCCAACAATGTGACATCATCAAGAACAGGTCCACAGAGAGAGCCATCAGTCTTCACACTATAAAATGTGCTAAAGAAGGTAATGCGAGTGCGAGATGATACAGCCTTGAACCGAAGCTTCCCTCTTGTGAACCCTCCTTTGCCTTTAGAATCATAAGAAACCTTCACAGTTTCTTTGCCTGCAAATGCCTCCACTGTCATGGAACCTTCACAAGCGTTGTTAGCATCACCCACAGCAAATGACAGCACATAAGTCTTGCCAATCTGTGTTCTGACCACTTGCGCGATGGCACTCTCTCTCCCTGCAACAAGTTCAATGGCTCTTTTGCCCTTAGGCACAAAGAAGTGATCAGAGTCTATGTACTTCACAGACTTGAGAGACTCTATTATCCATCCTGGTAATGGGCTGTGAGCATCCTCAATATTGGGTGGCAACAGAACCCCAACATCTGCCTTTGGCAATACATATGGACCTTCCTCAAAGTTACCATTTTTCAGCAGGTTTACTGAAATGAACAGTGCAACACAAGTTATTCAGTGAACTCAAATTTGAGCTGGGGAAGTCTATATGGGAGAGTTTAGTTACATAAAACAACAGATATCAGATAACTGAGAAGTTACCAGGTTGTTTCAATGTTTGTGATCAAAATGTTTTAATGCAAACATGCGAGTATGAAGCTTGTTTTGCTTTTGGTGAGAGAATTTACCATTTGTTCTTCTTGGAGGATTCAAGGCCTTGATGGCAACAGAGTCAATAATGGGTCCACAAGCAGGATCTTCCTCCACACCAGGATTATGGATCATAATCTCAACTTCTGGGTAATCTGCTCTGAACCCACAAGCATAATAGTCCCATCCCTTGCTGCTATACACTGTCTGGATTGGAAACGCACCCCAATCACTCTTCTCACTTGTGGGTGTAACAGACACATTGATCTTCTCCTCTTGTGCACATGTACGACCTGCACTGAAAGTTATGGCGTAGAACATTCCCTTCACAAGCTTCAACTTTTGCTTGACGGAAGCTTCATTCCCAAGCCTCACAGCAGTGGATCCTTCAGGCACAAGGAGCATCATGTCACCTTGTTTCTGGCCTGCTTTTATGTACTCAACGAAACCAGAAATTGTCCATTTGGGTATGGCATTGCGAGCCATGACTTCTGTGCCCTTCATCTGCGATGGTTCAGGGCCAAGCTCAAAGTTACCATTGGGAAGTAAACCTGAAATAATTTTAAGAATGTAACATATAAAGTAATGAGTAGTCTTCATTGGGGTAATTCATCAAATAGTAATCTCCAGATTTTCACTGATCACGAATATACATAATATGGATATAGAGGTTATTTTATTACCATCACGAATGGAAAAAGTAGTGCAGCAGGTTGCAAGAACTAGCAGCAACAGAAATTCAAGCTTCTGCATTGTGAAGCACAAATTGACGAGAGAGAGAGAGAGAGAGAGCGGGAGGAGTTGTGGAGATGAATGGGTGAGGATGACAATGGTTTATATTTGAGCGAGTTGATGAAAATGCCACTGAGAATGTGACAAAACTATGAGAATGCCACTGGAAGGATCCTTATTTGTTATGTAAGATGGAAAACTGGCAATTGATTCCCCGGAACATGTGGCGTTGGGTGGAAGAGAAGTTAATATAATAATTCCAAACAGATCCCAAAAAGATATATGTATATATATAATATATAGTATCATCAAGAACCAATGCGAAATATTGGTGCTTGCTTCGATTTGGTGTGATGGTGATACAATAGGATCTTTCTGGGAAGGCTGGGATAGGTCCAACTTTGTTGGATCAAAATGACAGGACCACCCCTGACTTACATGGAATTTGATATATATTGGCTATCTTAATTACAGAATAAAATTTTAAAGTCATATTTAATCTTCAATATGCAATAGATATTTTTCTCAATGTTATCTTTGTTAAGTTGCATATGTCTGAATGAACTTAACTTATATGAGAAATCTCATGTTAGATAAAACTGAATTTAATAATTAATATTAATAAAAAAATATCCATAAATTTGAGTTTTAAAATTTTTAATTAACATGTAATGTCCTTCCATTACTCATCCTTATTGGCCTTCTGATTACTGAATTAGCTTAGGAGAGATTGTCCAAGTGTGAGTGGGTTTTTAATCTCATATTGAATAAATTAGGGTTTAATAATAAAAGATAAAATTGAAAAATTAAATATTTTTTACAAGTTTAATGATATTATTATTCTTTAAATATCTTCGATTAAGTTTGTCTTATAATTAGGATTGAATTAGTATAATAATAAGAGTTAATAAATCCAAATCAATGTGTGTAGTTTAATGAATTATGGAATGAGAGAAGCAATCAAATCCTATAATTGAAACATAAAAAAATGTATCCACAAGATTCTTTCTTAAAAAGCCCATGTGTAACTCTGGAATTCGGTTGAGTGTGTCTTCCTTCTGCCTCCTAAACAGTGGCAAATTTGTTATTATATATATATATATATATATGTATATATATATATATATATGTATATATATATATATGTATATATATGTATATATATATATATCTTCCTTTTCTTTTGTACTTGTTGGCATTAATCATGACATAGAAATCCTTTCGTACAAATATTTGTGACAAAATTATCTTGTTGAATGTTGAACCCCTAGTTATGAAATTAACTAAACTTAATTCTATAAAATTTACACCCAAATACAAGCCAGAATATCTTAAAGTATATATATATATATATATATATATTTTGATTGATTGATATTCACAAGCCAACGATGTCAAATTAGTTTCATATTAAATTAAATTTATAGATTATGTAGATGTATGAATTAAATGGCATTGGTATCAAGAACACGATACTAAATGAAGCGCAACATTAATTACTATAATTTCAATTTTGTAAGATTATAAGGAAGCAATTAGGAACACAAGCACATGTGATGTTTTTGTGTGTGTACGTGGCTTTATATTGAAGCAGCCAGTTTGAATGGAAGATTCGTTGCGTTCCATAAAATTAATACTTCCTGTGTTTTATTATATTAGTCTATCCATGTTAAAATTTTTTTTTTAGCATATTATAAGTATTTTTAAGATTCCAATGCAATTATAAATGTTAAAGGGAAATATTATTATTGTCTGGCACTTTCGCCTATATGTTTGGATTAGAAGTTGTCAAATTAAAGTTAGAATAAAATTATTAGTGATTATAATATGATTTATGTTTAAAATTTTTTTACAAGTCATTTTTACCTACTCCAAAACTACACATTTTCAGCTTCTATATAGATGGGCTTCTGAACCAAAAGCCCTATTAACTGTTTTTTTTTTTAAAAAAAAATCCAAACATCCTTTCAAGCTTCTCAATGAGTTTTTAAAATTCAATTTGAGGTTTGACTATAATATTGTCTAATTATCTCTATAACTTAACTATAATACTATACGTTATCATAATAATTGGGAACTAACCACTCTAACCACCTTACTGTGATAAAAAAAATTAACTGTAATTAATAAAAACTAACTATAATAAAAAAAAGAAAAGACCCATACGAAAGAGATTAAAAGAGTTAACATAAAATTCTATAATTTTAAATATATAATAAAAAATAGTTCTACCATGAAGAGATTCTACCATGGCAGACAAGGTTAAAATCATTTTTGAAAAGCTACAAATATAATAGAAAAGAATTGACCCTTTTGTAAACAATCAAAATAAATAACCAAATCATTGAGATCCCAATTCATTAAAAATTTCAAGCATAACAAGGCCCATTTAATCACAAATCAAAGTTTAAAAGCATTTGAAAATATATGATACCCTTTGGGTTGGAAAACAGGAGTAAAAAGGTTTGAAAATGTCTTTTTACAAAATTTCGGTACCTCCACTAAGACGAGACCCTCTTTGCACTGTGCACTGTAGCACATTGCACAAAGATGGCAACCATTTTTGTTATCAAATGCACAACACTAAAAGTGAATTTTCGATGAGTCCCAAGCCTCTGTTTGATGTTCAATGAACTAGCTAATGATGTTAGCTTTATTTCAAAATTGCATCCCATGAAAAAGTTGAACACTTGAAATCAAAATCACTCCTTTTTCATAATAAACACTTCTAAAGTATATAAAATCCAAACCATGTGCCAAAGGCCTAAGCAACCACTTAGATTAAGTCCCCAAGTCTTAGGAGAACTTGTCCAACACACCACATTATAGATAATCTACTCATACTTTATTTTTACTACTCAACCTCGATTTCAACAAAAACCATAGGGGAGGCAAAATAACATAAACTCATCATTTTTTTCATTGTATACAACAACTAAAAAAATAATGATAAATTTATTTGCACTAATATTTATGCCCTATTTAACATTAACAGTACCTACAACAATAGTAGGACACTAAATACAATCAATCTTCATAAATAACATGCATTTGTGCAAGTAAGCCAAAACAATTATCCTAATTAGCAATTAATCATCACAACTAACACATGTGAACCAAAAGAAAGGGGCATGCTTTAGGAATCACATATTCCTATGCCTCATGTACCTTCTCCCTAGCCTTCCTAAAGCTAAAGGCTATAATATGTAAAATAAAAATTGGTATAACTACTCAATAATTAAGAAAACTCTAAATCCTGCACAAGCAAATCAAATTAATTAAGGTATGTGAAGTAGGTATGTTAAAATCAATCAAAGAAGTATCATTATATTATAACACATGATATTACAAATGCATGATCAATTATTACTTATCTTCTCCATATGCTGCTAAACAAATTCGTGAACTGACAAATTAATAAGACTAAGTCTGTATAAATGGATTAGCCCAAGCTCATTAATTGTGAAGAACTACATAGCCAAAGATACTACACTCACTCTTGAACTATGAGTTTTCTCAATTCTTAAATCCATTGAAGTGTCACATGTCCTATCATTCACCCAATCCAAGGTGAGGTTAAGGACAAGGTCTAGGCAATCTATGCTCACACTTAGTTTTAGGTGAAACCTAGGAAAAATCGATCGAAGAACTAAACACTAAGGCCACTTATGGTGTTGTTTATATTCCACGTGAAAAATAGAATGCTAACCCCTCCTAAGTATTCTCCCCCCCAGTCAATGATCATGCAAGGTATTTCATGGCATCATTATGCATACCATCTCACATAGCATAAATCAATTGTCACAAGCATGTATACAATACCACAATTTCTTATAGGTTATCATAATATTAAAAATCTCCATTTCATTATAGTTTACATGTAAAATTTGAGTTCTTTTTCATCTGTATAAAACAAGCCACACTTGCATGTGGTTTAATAAAACAATAATTTAAATTAGATAAGTTACAAAACATTTCTCACAAGTTCAAAATTAATCATAATTAATCTAACAAGTAATGGCATCAAACATAATTTTTTTAATTATCTCAAACATTTAAGAACTCAAAGATCATCCTAAACCACTTGCTTCTTGAGCTTGAAATGAGTTCAAACAATGTGTGACAAGGTTAATTTATAGCTAACAATAACCACATCACTAAACATCAACTTATATACCACTCGCAAGTCCCAAACTCCCCCTTTTATAACCTCAACTTGCCAACTACAAGTCCAAATTCATAGCCAATAAGTTTACTAACTCACGTTAGCTTAAATAACAACTAATATAACACTCAAGATCTCATTTAAAGTGGCAAAGGTTTGTCCAAAACGTAGACCCAAACTCATAACTTTGTAAAATTTTTAAAATTAGGTTTAGTTAAGCTAAATAACTCTCATTAATCCCATTAGAACCAATGGGTCTGGACTCAATGTTTTTGGGCCAAAAGTCTTGCTCTCCTAACTCCAAAATCTAACTCGAAATTGTGCAAAGGGAAGACTTATCTAATCTAGAAACACGTTCAAAATGCTCCAATTTTGATACCTTAACAGACCTACAAGCCTTTATCATCACCCTTCCTCTATTTCTCTTCTCCTTCCCTTTTTTGGTGCGCAAGCTGTAATAACTCGATTTATTTAAAATTTGATACAAAGAGGGCTGTGGTGGTTTCGGTCCTCCACTTAGGCCTAGATGGCTCGGTTCCCTTCTGGACTTGATTAAAAGGCTGAAAATGAAGCCAATAGACCTTTTAGTTGTCTTTAACTACCCTTAAATCAAATGACTCTCAATTTTACCTATTTACCCTTGACTAATTAATTAAATTCAAAAATTAAAATTTAGGATGTTACATTGACCACCCAAACAGTCAACCTTTAGTTTATATCCTATATAAACATAGCAGTAACATTCTATTTTAGCAAGAATAGAAAGTCTTTTCAGGAACCTCAACCTTTTTATTTTTAAAATCAACACTGCAATCCAATCTTTAACACTATTAAAAATATTTCATCAAAGATTACTTGCATTTTAATGAGACAACTAATTCTTCTTAATTTTGATAAAATAATTAGAAATGTCCTGTATTCAAGAGGGACAGAGGTAGTATAGTATAAGTATTTATGATGTTCCTAATGTCCGTCAAAATAAAAGCTATTACATTAGTAACAATTTCAGCCTCATAGAGAAGCTAATCGGTACAGTTACTTGCTTCCCTAAACACATAATCCTACCATAGCTCCCAATTCATGAGCTTTTCCCAATATCTTCTCAGACTCTGAAAGCAGGTTTTAACTTATCTTACTTTTTTTTTTTTTAAATGTTCTCAATGGATTTCCCTGACTGTGAAAACAGTTTAATCTTTCTTTTAATTGAGCTTTAGACCTTCTCTTATGCTCATTATCTCAGTCATAGTACAAGGGTAATATCGCAGCTATATATATATATATATATATATATGAATTCTTCATGCAACTGATCTGTCGCGTCAAAGATTTCCTCGTATATGTATTCCCTACAAGATCGTTCAGCGCGTTCTGCACCATAGCGATTCCCGTGAAAGTAAACCGGAAAGATTCTATAATCAAGATCGATAATGGAACAATAGCACGTGCCCAAGTGGACATACAATATATATATATATATATATATGTATGTATATGTATGTATGTATGTATGTATAAAAAGAAAAAGATATGATCTGTGTATGAACTATATGAAGATATATATATTTTTCTTCTTTTCTATTAATTCCATTTGTATGGATAAATTAAGAAAATATTGGCATTTTTTCGTTCATATACGGTTATCCTGTTATAAATTGAAAAGTTTGTTTGAGTGGACAAATTTTTTTCGCAACTGGGTAAAGAAACAGACAGTATGAATAAATGAATTCATGAAATTGAAAAAAAAAGAAGGGAAATCAAAAATAAAATTTCAATGGATTATCTATACACCAAATGTTACAACATGTAATTCTCAGCTCACGGGCTGGTGACAACTAATAAGCAGAAAATTTATAATGGAATAAACGAATCAAATGTTGGAGGTACAAATGGCTTCCAAATTCAAATTTGGTGATGTGATGGATGTGTCTTAACAATGCACAAACTCAAAATTCCAATCAAGCATGTCTAAAAAAACGAACACCAACTAATTTAACATCATCTAGAACAGGTCCACAAAGAGAGCCATCAGTCTTCATGCTATAGAATGTGCTAAAGAACGAGATGCGAGTGCGAGAAGACACAGCCTTAAACTGAAGCTTCCCTCTAGTGAACCCTCCTTTGCCTTTAGAATCATAAGAAACCTTCATAGTTTCTCTGCCTGCAAATGCCTCCACAGTCATGGAACCTTCACAAGCGTTGTGAGCATCCCCCACAGCAAATGACAGCACATAGGTCTTGCCAATCTGTGTTCTGACCACTTGGGCAATGGCACTTTCTCTCCCTGCAACAAGTTCAATGGCTCTTTTGCCCCTTGGCACAGAGAAGTGATCAGAGTCTATGTACTTCACAGCCTTGAGAGACTCTATCATCCATCCTGGTAATGGGCTGTGAGCATCCTCAATGTTAGGTGGCAGCAGAACCCCACCATCTGCCTTTGGTAAAACATATGGACCTTCCTCAAAGTTTCCATTTTTCAGCAAATTATCTGAAACGTTCAATGCAAAACAAGCAATTCAATTAACTAGTTTGTTTATTAAAAACATGTGTATGCATATGGTATGGGGTGGTTTTAGTGAAGGGTTCAAACTCTTCAGTCCAGATTTGAACTACATCGTACTTAGATCACTAAGTTTAAATGTTTCTTATGAAATTGTTTTTATGCAAATAAATATGTATATATGATGCTGAGTTCTTAGAGACAGAATTTACCATTTGTTCTTCTAGGTGGGTACAAGGCCTTGATGGCAACAGAGTCAATAACGGGTCCGCAAGCAGGATCTTCCTCTGCACCAGGATTATGGATCACAATCTCGGCTTCTGGGTAATCTGCTCTGAACCCACAAGCATAATAGTCCCATCCCTTGCTGCTATACACTGTCTGAATAGGAAACACACCCCAGTCACTCTTCTCACTTGTGGGTCTCACAGTCACATTGATCTTCTCATCCTGTGCACAAGTGCGACCTGCACTGAATGTTATGGCGTAGAACATTCCCTTCACAAGCTTTAGTTTCTGCTTAATGGAAGCTTCATTTCCCAGCCTAATAGCAGTGGATCCCTCAGGTACAAGAAGCAGCATGTCACCTTGTTTCTGGCCCGCTTTTATGTATTCAACGAACCCAGAAATGGACCATTTGGGTATGGCATTGCGAGCTATGACTTCTGTTCCTTTCATCTGCGATGGTTCAGGGCCAAGCTCGAAGTCGCCATTGGGAAGCAAACCTGAAAATTTTTTAAGCATGTAGCACAAAAATAGTGAGTGGTCTTCACTGAGGTAATTTGTCAAAAACGTAGTAAACTTGAGTTTATCATTGATCACATATAATATATATATATATATATATATATAAAGAGGTTATTACCATCACGAATGGAAAAAGTGGTGTGGCAGATTGCTAGGAATAGAAGCAAGAGAAATTCAAGCTTCTGCATTCTGAAGCACAAATTGAACAAAGAATGAAAGGTCCACAAAGAGAAAAGGAGAGAGGGAAGGAGAATGAGATCCATGGGTGAGAGGGGCGATGGTTTATATCTGAGTTAGAATCTGGAAATGCCACTGAGAATGAGATGAAACTATGAGAATGCCACTGGAAGGATCCTCAATTGTTGTTGTGGAAGAGATGTTAATATAAAAATTGCAAACAGATCTCAGCACAATATATGTAATCAACGACCATTGCCAAATGCTGTTTCTCACACATGGCTTCGAGTTGGAGATGATGATGCAAGGATCTTTCTAAGAAGGTCATGATTGGTCTAACTTTGTTGGATCAAAATGACAGGGCCACCCCTCCGTATATTGATATGTACTCTCTCTTGAATTTAAAATATAAACATTTTCCTTCCATTAATCTTGATTCAAAACATAAGCAATTTAGTACATGTAATTTTTTTTTCTCATTTTACTCTTTATATTTATTAACTTAGATCTTTGTATATATGTATCTATCACTCATTATGAGAAGCTTCATAATTAGGACTAGGAATAAAAAAATAATATATTCCTTCCATACAAAAATGTAAAAGCATTTTTAACCGAATCTCATCTTCAATAAAGTAGTTACCTACTTTCAAACTAACTCTATCTTTTTATATTTACCCTATTAAACACCTTATAATAAATATAAAGTTATTATCAATGGAGGCACTTTTAAAAAAAGGTAATAATTACACCTCAAAAGATTAAAAATACTTCATATTTTTGAATATTCAAGTTTTCAAAAAATACCTTACATTTGTTAAACGGAGGGAGTATATTTTTATGGGAATGATGACTTATATTAGTATGTGAATTTTTCCTAAAAACTACTCATATTTTGGACTAGAGAGAGTATATCTTATACATCTCATGGTGCTTATTATTAAAAAAAAAACTTGAGCTACTTCATCAAATAATAGGAAGAGAAAATTTTTATAAATGACAATTGATTCATTAAATATGTCTTTAAATGAAAAAAAATCAACTTTTTCACCTATTAAAAATAAGAAGAGAAATATATACAATAAACATTGAGATATAAAATTAAATTTAAAATAGATATAAAATTGAAAAATGATATTATAAAATGAAAATTATATAAAGGACCAAAGAAATTTTTTAAAATGTGCTTTATAATAGAGACCGAAAAAATATTAATTATTTAATTCAACTTTATATGAATATAGGATTTCCCATGTTAATTTAATTTCACTTATACCTAAACAACCTAACACTAATTAAACCATAGTCCTCAAGCCAGTTTTTAAAAGTGAAATTTTTTACCAATAGTAAATGCGTCTAAGGTTATAATTGAAATTCAAAAGCTACTTCTCTCAACTTAAGAAAAAAAAGTGATTTTGGTTTAAATAATTTATTTTGATTATGAGAAAGTAGGAGTGTTTACTGTTTAGGTGTTTTTTTTTAATCAAAATCATAGTTTTAGTTCAATTAAGTGATTTCAGGGCCATATCTAAAGAGGCACTAGGTGATTAACAATTGCAATGAAAATTATGAAGGCTGCGTTTCAAAGAAATTAAATAAAATAAAGGGGAAACATCACTGCAGGACCTTCGAAGACACTTTATGGGGGTGGGGGTGAAGACCAAAAGAACTTGAATTCTCTACTGGACCAAGTGTAAATAATTGTGAGTATCAAATAATTATAATATCCTTGCCCTTTTTTTCTAAAAAAAAAAAAAAAGTCAACCCACCACCACCACCACCTAGCCACTAGGCTAATGTATGTTTAGTATTCAGTTTATATATTTGGCAAAAGTTCATTTGAGATTTAACTATTTGTTTGATTTGATAAAAACATATATGTCAAATGTGATTTGAATATGCTTTTGGGAGTTATCCAAACTGACCCCAAAATGCAATTCAATTTAAAAAAAATAAATCATGTATTTTACAAGTTTTTATTTATAAATTGACATTTAAAATATATGAATTTAGTTTAATTGATAATTAATTTTTAAACCCTCCAATTTTTACCAGACTATATCATATTAACAAGTAATATTAATACAATAACAACTGCCATTCAACAACTAATAAGTCACTGTTATATTATAACAAACAAATGGTTTCAAAACTAAATTTATTAACCCACCACTCAGGTACTTTAAAGTTAATTGTGATGGGGCTTTTATCAGGGACACAAATGAAGCTTCTGTTGGTATAATCTATAGAAATAAGTATGGTGAATTTATGTGAGCTTTTGCTGATAAGGTGAAATAAATTTCTTCCTTTATGATGGAAGCCCTCGCTCTAAAGAGAGCACTGCTATTGGTTCTTAATTTAAGATATGATAAAGTGATATTTGAAAGTGATTGTTTGACTCTCATAAATTGTGTCTAGAAATATCAACCTGAGTTAGGAGATTGGAGGTGTGGAAATGTTCTCCAAGATATTATCAATCTTATGGCCACTAAGGGTAGGTTCTCTATTGCCTTTGTTCCATGCAAAGGCAATCTTGTAACTGATTTTATTGCAACTTTTAAGGATGTAAATTTGATAGGATGTATCACCTCCTTTCAACATGTTTGGATTGAGAAAGTAATCAATTATTTGGCTAAGTAATTGATTGCAATCAAAATTATCCAAATAGAAAATTGAGATAATTGATTATTGAAGCATAATTACATTTTCAAATAACTGACCTCAGATTGATTATATGAATCGATTTTACTGTTAAAGCATTGATTATTCCATTAAAATTAATTTTAAAAAAATAATATTCAAACATATTGCATTATAACATAATCAATTATAATTAAAATTAATCATATTAATTAATTATTTTTATAATTAATTATACCTAAATGAAATTCACATGAGCTTTTTGTCTTTGTTTCTAGGCCAAGATGCCATGAACTTTGAAGCGTCTTTGAATGGATGCGAGCCACCTCTTCCTAAGCGTGGTATTGGCCGATATGTCTTGCTTGTATTATTATTATTATTATTATTATTATTATTATTATTATTATTTTCCTTGTGTGTTGGATTTGTTATTTGCTTTTGCTTTTTCCCGGTTGGTGGATGCCTTTATGAAATAATATGCCCGATGTTGGCCCAAAAAAAAAACTAAATTTATTACCTATATAAATATATTATTTTAATGATGCTCAAATGTAATCAAATGTTGAATTACCAATTAAGTATCTATTATTAGCAAACAAATAATGAAACTCAAGGCAAGCTATATTTTTTAAATCATATCACTGTTATTTATAAACCACTGGTTTCTTGCAAATATTATGCAATGCTGAATAGCTTGTATACTACAAAAACAAAACAATGTGTCCTGATAAAGGACAAGTACCACAAATCACATCACTATTCCCAAAATCATATCTTATTATGCTAATGTTATTGATGGCAATAATTATAAACTAAAATTTTGTCCTATACGTTATGTAAAGACTTCTGTGATACAATCATCTAATAATTGAGACAAACTAATTTTGAAAATAAAGAAATTGAAACATTATGTCACACAACAGCAAAGCACACACCTTATTATATGCTACTTGTTGGCAAAAAAACTAAATTCCATTATTTGACAGCTATTTCAAATCATAATACTATTTGCAAACCAAATGAATCATATCGCTTCTTACACGATTAGTTGATTATATTCATATATATATATATATATAGAGAGAGAGAGAGAGAGAGAGAGAGAGAGAGAGAATTATAGATTAATGGCATTGGTATCAAGAACATGACATTGAATGAGGCGCAATGGTAATAATATAATTTTTTTTTGGTTAGATTATTTGGAAGCAATTACGAACACAATCACATGTGCTGCTTTGGCAATTAAGGATGAGGCTTTAGATTCAAGCAATGGATCTGAACGGATGACCAGTTACATGGAATTATTATTATTTCGTTTTCGATCAATAGGTAAAATTTCATTTTATTTTTTAAAGCTCCTTTGTAAATCAAGTTATTGATTATGTTAAATTATTTGTAGAATTGTTCACTAAAAAACATAAATTGATTAAATAAATTTAAAGAAGGGGGCAAAAGTAAAACTTAGATTTGAATTGGGCCTAAAAGATCATGTATGAAAGATCATTCTGTATTTAAAGTGTGGCTATTGGTTTTGTTTGGTTGAAACCTAATTAATGAATTCAAATCTATCCAAAAAAAAAAAACCAATTTAATCACTTCAAAACTCATACATAAAGTCATAAACCAAACCAGGCCTTATTCCCTTTTTTTTTTTTTGAAAAAATAGCGATGAGGGAACATTAAAAAAAAATTATATCAATTACGGGTTAGTTATTCCTAAAATTGAATGAAAAAAACTCAAATGAACTATTATTAATTTAAAATAAGTTATTGTTAAAATCTAAATGAATACTTGTTAATAAAAAATTAAATAAATTGATAAGTGTCTATTCAAATTTTAATAATAAATAATTTTTAATTAATATAAATTTTTTCTAACAATTCTTGATTAATATTTTCTCCCCTTTTTTTGGGGGGGGTCAAAATTGGACCTCATTCTGTGTCGATTTGGTTCATTTCTGATTGATTCTATTCAAATCTTCTTCGGCTTGATAAGTTTAGATCCCCACAACATGACAAAATGAAGATAACTACTTTTACCCAAAAAAAAAAAAACGAAGATAACTATTGGCATAGTTATGCGCAATGACAAGCCAAGGCTACAAGTTTCTTTATCACGTTCCCAGTCTGTTTAATGAGTGTTAATGTTTCTTCTCCCTCATTTTAATACTATAAGAAATTTTGCTTCAAAATAATGTGTCAGGGATTAATAAGACTTTTCCAAAAACATCATTTATTAGGACATACTACTCCATCTTAAATTATAAAACATTTTTAAAAAAAATCAACATCTCCAAATATAAAATATTTTGATAAGAATAAGAATACATTAATGATGTCTTTTTAATATTATCCTTTTTATTATACTCTCTCTTTTTAATATTTTTTTTTACAAATGAAATATTAAATGAATGGTTTTTTAAAAGTTCTTTTGAAAATATAAGGTTGTAAAATAAATTTAATGAGCATTATTAGGCTAAAAGGAGTGATTAAGAAGATTTTTTAATTGAGTGACTCTATTAAATAAAGATAATCATAAAAAAAGTGTGTAATTTTAAAAATGATTAACTAATTTATTAAAGAATGTAATTTAATTAAAACTACTTTATAATTCTAAAAAGAATGACTATTATCTTGGCCACGAGTCTCTTGGAGTTGGGTCGATTGCCGCTCTAGAGAGAATTTCTTTATTCACTGAAAACATGCATAAAAATCTGGTCCTTCAAATCTTCTATTGTCCACTTCATTTAACATTCTTTTACATATCACCAACTAAGCCAATTATTTGTCTCCAAAAATATCAAAATTTATTGCACATCAAACTCTTTTTTTATCAAGTAACCAAAAAATACTAAAATCACTCATATGTATTGGGATTGAACTTCAATAATATTTATCAATGTGATAAGATTTGGACCATTTAAATTGATTTAAAGTATTATTTTATTTTATCAAGTGACCCAAAAATACTAAAACCACTCGCATGTATTGGGATTGAACTTCAGTGGTGCTCATCAGTGTCATGAGATTTGAATCATCTAGATTGATTTAAAATATTATTTTATTTTATATTTGTCAAAATAAAAAATTTAATAAATTATAAAATAATTTAATAAATTTTTTTATTTTCAATATAGTCTAGAGTTAATTTATAAAATTTAATTTAATATTAAAATTTTTATAATTGATATATATTAATTATCCAGATGTATTATACACAATCCAAATTAACAGCAGATTAAATCAGAATTGTAAAGATTACATTTGAATAATCAATATATAATAATTATAAAAAATTAATATTAAATTGAACATTCCAAATTAAATTTAAATCAAAATGAAAATAAAAAATTATTTTATAATTTTTATTTAATAAATATAAAATAAAAATATATAATATACTTTAAATTTAGATTTAATCTGGATGTCGAGACGTTGCTATAATAAGCACTGAATATGAGCCCGTACATGTATGTATTGACTATTGAATTTGAACCTATAGGTTAATTTTATAATTTTTGTAATAAAATTAAAACTTAATAAGTAATATCACAATATCCCTCCACTCCACCAAATTTGCAACTAGTTTCATATTTTCACTCCACCTGAAAAAGGAAATCCAACTAGTTACCTTCATTTAAAAATTATATATCATTTTACTCAACTTTTAGACCGCAACCAAAAATGAAAATTAAAAAGAAATAAAATTAAAAAAATTAATTTTTGGATTATTTAATTTTTAACTCATAGCTCAGTTCTTCATTATGACTCATTATGATTCAATTTCTCAATTTTTTACTCATTTATAATTCAGTCTTTTAACTTTTGACTCTTTTATAATTCAATCTCTCAACTTTTATTAATTCTCTTTTTTATATTAGTTTAGATCCACGTCAAAGAGCAAGAATAGAATATTTTAAAGTAAGGGACAAATATTTTTTTATCCTTCTTATTTAATGAGAATAAGATTGAATTATAAGTGAATTAAAAATTAAAACATTAAATTATAATGAGTCATAATTAATCATAATTAAACATTGAATTGTACGCGACTTAAAATCAAAAATTAAAAGATTAGTTTTTTTAAATAAGAAATTAAAAGAACACATAGAGATTCATATTCATAGACATAATATGATTCATAACACAATAGTCAATAGCATCAGTGTCCCAAATCATACAGACATACGATCCAACGGTCTTCAGATGACACACAGATCTTCTTTTTTTCAAGATATTTCATATCGACAAATAAGGAATAGAATCGGACCCAAGTCCGACGGATACCAGCGGCTTGGGACTTACCGGACCACCAGCGACGGCAGTTCTTATTTGTCGAACCGTTTCGAAACGTCGGATGCGAGCCTGGATGCAATCGCGGAGTGGTACATGATGTCGTGGAACGTTGTCGTTTCCATGGTCTTCATCCGGAGCTGTTTGGCCTTTTCCTCAGTGAAGCATCCGGGGCGAACTTGGATCTGGGACGGACGGGTTCGTTATTGGACCCCAAGGCTTCAACGGCCTGCGATCTGGCCGTGCCATCGATGTAGTCCGGTTCCGACGACATTCCGAACAACGGAGCCCACCAGTTCGTAGCAACCTGTTTCCGGTTGCTTGGTTCGGGTTTGATCGAAGATCGGATGGCGGGGTCGGAAAACCGTGAGAGAAGCGGTCGCCATTGGAGAAGATGAAGGTCGTTTCAGAAATCAGAGGGAGAACTTTGCGAGGAAGTTAATAAAAACTCAAAAGCGCAGGGAGGTGGGGGAGGGGGAGGAATCAGGTGCGGCGGGATTATTTGAAGATAATGCGCTTGATGCTTCAAAGGTTTGGAAGTGAGGGATTTGATGGTATTTGACAGGAAATGAAGGGTAATTTAGGAATGAAAGTACAATCATCAATGTACGGAAGAAAGGGTATGGCGGATGGTGCAGCAGGGGAACTGAAAAGAGGATAAGGGTGACTAGGCGAGGACGTGGATTTTGGAGGCACTTTTTTGGGGGTCTTTAAGTGCACTTTTTCAAGGATGTTGAATTGCTGATAAAGAGGCAAAATTTAGTGGCTCCCTAGATGTGAAATGTCTCCTGGATGATATTTTGTTGTTCCTTCTGTTTGGTAAATTACAATTACAAATAATAATTATAAAAATAAGAAAAATATTTTTCCTATAATAAAAAGTAAAAAAATTTGGCCATCTGAATTAACTTTGATTTAAGTACGTTAACTTCTAACCTAAATTAGACCGGAAGGAAAAATAACCTCGTGCGTACCAAGGATACATTACTGCATTTTATGCTATTTAAAAATTCCAACTACTCCTACCCTTTTCCCTTGAGGCTATTTACGTGCTTGTTAGTTGTTAGATAATATGTACTTTCACATATTCAATACTCCCACATCGGAGTTATCCATATTATAAAATATTTTTTTAATATTATTTTTATTTAAATTTATTAATTATAAGAAAAGAAAGAGTGTAATGCAAATTTTAAAAAATCATTTAAATACGGATTATCTTTTTAAATAAAGTTAACAATTTAATCTCATCTCTTTAGTTCCCCTTAAATTAGTTAAATACTTCCCTCGTTTAAAAATGTAATGCATTTTTTAAGAAATTAAATGTTAAAAATGTAACGTATTTTTAGTTTTTTGAGATATAATCATTGCCTTTTTGTCAAAAGTGCCCGTATTGATAATAATTTTATATTTATTATAGAGTATTTAATAGGGACAAATATGAAGAGATAGAGTTAGTTAAAAAATAGGTAACTCTTTTATTGAAAAGTGAGATTAGATTAAAAATACCTTTCATTTTTTAATTGAAGGAGCATATCTTATATAAACCAGAAAGAAGTCATGTAACTTTTTTTTTTCTTGGAGTTGTTTTACGTATTACAGGTAAACGTGAAATGTTTGAAATCGTTTACATGTTTATTAAATAGTACATGTTACTAAAAAATTAGAGAAAATTGCTAGAGAATTCCTTTTTAAAATGGAAATGGCTACCAAGAGCAATGACAAATTTAAGGACCAAATTTTATTCATAAAACAATCTGACTGAAATCCCCTTGTAATCTTGAAAAAAAAAAAAAACAATAAATAAAGAAATAGATGTCCAAGTTTGTCAAACGTTGGAAGAGCAACCACCGTTTGCGCGCCGATTAATTGAGGATTGGGAGAACTTTGCGAGAAAGGTAATTGAGCGGTGGGTGAGGGAGGAGAAATCAGGTGTGGCAGGATCTTTGAAAAGAATGCGCTTGATGCTTCAACGTGTTGGGAGAGCGAGGGGATTGGATTGCATTGGACAGGAAATGAAGGGTAATCTAGGAATAAAAAGACAAGTGTCAATGTGTGAAAGAAAGGGTATTGTGGATGGTGCAGCAGGGGAACTGAAAAGCGGATAAGGCTGACAAGGTGAGGACGTGGACGTTGGAGGCAGTTCAGAAGAAGTTAGGAGTGAAGTTTGTTGGGGTTGAGCTCCTTGGGATCTTGAAGTGCACTTTTTTAAGGATGTTGAATTGTTGATAAATAGGCAAATTTTGGTGGCTCCCTAGATGTGAAATATCTTCTAGGTGATATTTTCTTGTTCCTCTTTATAAAATAAGAAAAATATTTTTCCTATAATTAAAAAATAAAAATAATTTTGCTAAATACAAGTTCATATGGCGAAATTATTTCTACCATAATGACAATATCACTTTTCTTATTTCAAATAGATCGTAGATTTATAAGGAGAAAAGTTAGGTTAATGATAAAATTTTTAAAAATAAAAAGAACATACTCCCTCTATTTTAAAATAAAAGTCATTTTTTATTAAATCTCACATCTTAATAAAGTAATTATTTATCTTCAAACTAATCTTTTTTTTATATTTACTTCAATTTAATAATTTTTTTATCTTAAAATAAATATAAAGTGATTATTTAATAGGTAAAAATTAAATTATAAAAGATTAATTTTTTTATATTTTTAAACATCCAATCCTTTAAAAAATATTTTATATTTTTAATAAATGAAATATATTTAATTCTGTTGAGTTCTAACCAAAATTGGACAGGAAGCAAAAATTACCTATGCATATGAAGTATTCCCTCTATTAAAAAATAGAAAGTATTTTTAATCGAATCTTATTTTTCAATAAAGTAGTTATCTATTTTCAAACCAATCTTATCATTTCATATTTATTCCTATTAAATACACTACAATAAATATAAAATCATTATCAATATGGACACTTTCAGAAAAAAAAATAATGATTATAACTTAAAAAATTAAAAATGCCTTATATTTTTGAACATCTAACTTCTTAAAAAATACCTTATATTTTTAAATGAAAAGAGTATATAATTAAAATTAATACATTGTAGCATTTGATGCTATTTAAAAATTTCAACTACTCCTGCTCTTTTCCCTCAATGCCATTTGTATGCTTGTTATGTACTTTCACATACTTATTCGTGTAAAATCATACATTAGAATTTCAATTAGTATTATTAAAGCACTTAAGTAGGATATTTATGAAATGAAAGTATAATTAGAAATATGTAAAAAAAATAAACAATTAAGTGTTCAACTAATTTTTTTTAGAACGATAAAATAGTTATCAATACCTTATATCATGATCCAGAGAGATATCAAAGCTAAAACTCAGCATCAGCAATAAAAGGTTTATAATCATTTACATATTTAAATAAAATACTAAATGTTATAAAAAAAATTATGTCTTTGTAATATTATCAATCAATTTACATATAATATTTTAGCAAGAGTTGTCGGTCCTGGTAAAAAGAACTATTTAACCACAAGGTTTAATTCTAATTTATCTAAACGCATTTTCACAAGTTGTTTTAATGAAAACATAAGTTAATAATATTAAGGATTAATAAGTAAATAAGATTCTGAACTATTACTCGAAAATTGCTCTGGATCTTAAATTTTTAAAATATGCAAAATAAATCTTAACCGTTAACTTTTCACCGTTACTATACACACAGGTATTGTTTATGATTTATTTTTCTATAAATTTAACCCTGATTATTATAGTACACTCATGAACAATAACAGTATTAAAAAAGTTAACGATCAAGGTTTATTTTACTATGAATTTAAAAATTTAAGATTTATTTTACATATTTTAAGAGTTCAGGGTTCAGGATGATTTTCGAGCAAGAGTTCAAAACTCTATTTACTCATTAACTCTAATAGTAAATTTTAAATAAATATGCCAACTTTTAAACAATGACATTACACTTATTTTTTGGACTAACATTAAAGTAGCAATCAATCAAATACTTGTTAAAGAGTATACTTATTTTTGGACTAACACTACAATTAAGTTTATTTTTGGACTAACACTTATTTTTTGGACTAACATTAAAGTTACAACTTACAAATGAAAGGTTACATCACAATTTTTTAAGCGAAAGAGTATTCACTTGTGCTAGTAATTTTTTAAACTGCAAGGCATTGATTAGTGATGAGGCATAAAAGAAACTGCAGATTATCACCTAAACTTACTCCAGAAAATCCATCCGTTGGATTTTGTCCTCTACTGTATGAACATTTGCACTGCAATATACGTATTTTAATGATGCAAAACGATATTCCCAACTGTAATTCAAGGCATGCAAGAGCAAAACCCAGCTAAGTTTTTCAATCACCCGATCAGCTTCTGTCTATATCTTTTATGTTTAGTCTCTTGCTCTTGTGGACCTTCCTCTAGTTTCCTCCTCAAATTTTTCAGATCTTCTTCGCTTATTGAATCATTCAATTCTTTGTTCAACGCATATGCCTCAGCCATTTTTCTTCGGCACTCATTGCTCGCATAATCATGAGAAACAACTGAAACACAACTTACAGAGCCTAAGTTAGGAATAGGCTAACATGGAACAGAAAGAAACATAGATGACAAATATGGACTCAAAAAGACAAAGTTCTTATGAAGGGAATTGAATATTCCTTTAGCAGTTTAGCAGACAAACATGCAAACTAAAATAACGATGTGGGGAAGATAGAAACCTTATGGTGACAGAACTGACCTGGCAAGGGGTAGTCTTTGCCTATAATGCAATTTGCTTTCTTCTGAACGCTGAGAGGAGCAGTCCATGGTTCATAAATGTATTCCTTGGGCATATCTGGTCACAAATATTCATTATTAGAACTTATCCAGGTGAACATTGACTGGATAATAGAGCACAATGGAATTCAAAGAACTCTAACTTACCTTTTAAGACAGGGAGAAAATGCCTGATGTAATCTCCTTTAGGGTCATACTTCTTACCAAATGAGATTGGGGAATAAATACGATTATACTGATCATGATGACAAAATAAACGTGAAAAGGGTCAGAGGAAAATAATGGATTCAAGTTCTCAAATTTTACAATCAATCCACTCAAAGCAAAACAATCAAACCCGAATGAAAACAATGTAAAAAAGACAGCCAATGTGAATACCACAACTGTATTTTAATTACATTAAAAAAAAATTGAGAAGCTTAGAGGTTACAGCTTAGGTTATCACATAACTAAAGATATCAAGCATCAGGAGCAATGTAGACCTTAAGTCACACATTCCATAAAGGTCATATTTGTATTTTTGTGGCAGAAAAGTTTGTTCTCACTGAATTTAGTACAAGTAATGCGTTATATCTGATACCTGATAAAAGAAGGATGAACAAGAGAGCCAAAGCCAGTTTCCATTATTAATTGCCCAATCTGAATCAATAAGAAGCCTCTCAAAGACATCACGCCCTTTCTCCCAATGAACAAACTGTCAGAATAAACAAACAAAATTGTTAAAGACATTAGAGTAAAGAAAATTAAATAGTTTAGGGTAGCATCCGATACCAGGTCACCACGAGTAAGAAAACATGCAACAGAATGTCGTGCTAGATGGTGCATCCAACCCCATTGGCGTAGCTACAACAGCAGACGAAAGATTCGAATTCATTGGCTGAATGAAAGATAGAGCTTCGAAGTGGCAAGTTATTGTTCCTTAGAATAAGGATGTCAAACCTCTCACCTGAACCATGATGGCATCAATCCAAGGAAATCCGGTCCTAGCCTCCCTCCAAGCTTCCAGAAGTTTGTCATCATCCTTCCAAGGGATCTGACATTTGACAATATATTTCAAAATATTTGTCTTCCTTTTCCATTTTGCATATTCCTCATAAATCAATGTCAAATATCGGCCAAATGCAGATAAAACAACTATCATTAGTGATAATTTGTCCTTACCTGCTTGCATATTCTATTACCTCTCATCCTATCAAAATTTGGAGTCCCAAATGCCGTGGTGTAGAAAAAGTCTCGCCATAACAACTACGCATGAAAAAAGATATGCTGTAGCTTGAGCTTCCCAATGCTAGAACTGGAAAAACAAACATCACTGGCTTTTAGAGATAGACTGACCTGTCCTAGAAGAGAAACAGGTGGTGACGTATGCTTTGGCATAGTTTTATATACATCTTGAATCTGATGGTAGAAATATCTGGAGGATAAACAACCAAACTGCCAAGGAGTGACCGGGTGAACAATGAGAAAAATAGAAATATGGAAAAGTGCACAAGATTCCATTTTGATTTATAATCCATTCACAAAAAACGAAACATGTTACACAATTCAATTGCTACTGAGCCTGACTCACTTTCAAATAAGGTGATAGAACAGTTGTTTCTGGCCTCAGAAAAGCAGATGGATTACCCTTGGGTTTCTCAAAGGTGGCCACGAACTCCTACAATAAAAAGAAAGAAGAAACTATCACATACTATCCAAGTAAAAAATCTGCAATGACGGATCTTTCATCACCACCTACATGTACATGCAGTTAGTCTTAGGAAGTAATTATTTAAATGATAGAAAGTACCTTTTCTTTCATGCATTCTGTCAGCCTCTTCAATCCTTCTGATTCACCACCTTTGAAAGGAGAGAATTCTTCCTGCACACAACTTCTCCTTAGTAAGAACTCATAAAGAATTCAATAGGAAAGGATTATATCTTCTCACCTGTTTGACGTTTCCGTATCCGAGTTCTTCAATTGTTGGAACTTCAGAAATCTCACAATTTCCGAGATGTCCGACGGGAGGAAGTGAGGAAACCGTATTTGATAGAGGAATTGTCAGTTGCCCAGCAATCTTCACAAACGATTGATAACTGAGGGGTGGCTTCCCTCCATTCTTTTTAGGCATTGGCAAAACCAAATGGACAAATTATTAGTGTCATTACATTATTTTAATAATAGATCACCTAAGAATTTTATTGAGCGCTGAGAAGAGAGAAAAAAACCATTCATATTGAGTTTTATAACAAATTTTAACGACAGAAAATGATTAGCATCCAATTGCAGATAAATTGTTCAATTTAAACTTCAGTCTTACCTTCTGTATAATATCCGCTGGATTGAAGAGCGTGTGACTCACAGGAGAAAAAACCTCAACTCCAGAGGCCATCGTATAGTTCTGTCACAAGCAACAATAATTGTATTTAAAAAGAAGCTCGTTCACCAGCCATTCCCTACTACTATTGACTTTTGACAACAAGAACTTGGTCTTTTAAAATATCTAAATCCTCTACTAAAATTACCTTAACTCTAGTGTCTAAAGCCCGATAATATGGATCAGTGTCATACTCAAAGCAAAGCTTTCTGATGTTCCACTGCATCGTTGGAAAGAAGAAACGGAAATCACAAATTAAAATACCCAAGTCATATATGATATAACCGTGAAAACAATGAACCAATACTCAGAATGTTTAAAATAATCTTTAAGAACAGCGACAGTTAAAAGAAATTAGAGTGTCATAATGAGAGAGGAATCAACCAGAATACCTCCTTCAAGCAATGAATCAGAACCTGCCCTGGCTCACCCTTAAGAATCAGCAATCGTGATCCGAGCTTCTTAAGGTTCACATCAAGGTCCACAAGGCTTTCAAGCAAGAACTTAATCCGGTTCAGACCAGCTCGCGTAGACCCGGGGGAAAATGCGCCGGGATCGGGCTCCATGTAATGCGGGTCGATAACGAAGACCGGGTAAAGACGATCCGACCCCTGGCGGGCGAAATCCAGAGCCGGGTTGTCATGGATCCTAAGACCCTTTCGGAACCACATTAGAGAAGCCGAACCGGACGCCATAGAAGTGTTGGTGCACTGAGCCAAGCAAACAGGAAGAGAAAGAGACAAGAAACGCATAAGGTAGTTTAGTTTGTTTCGCGCCTTTGGAAGAAATGTACATAGAAAGAAAGAAGTAAATTGAGAGGGTTGGTTCTAACGTGCGCAGGGAGTTGAATCGGGTTTGAGTTGCAGGGAAAGGAGCCATGAATTTCCAACTGCCGCTGAGATTTGCAGCCATGGCGTAGAGTAGAAAAGTTGGCGCAGGGTAGTGATGTAATGGTATCTGAGGGACCACGTAGCATCTCTAAAATAACGAAAAAAGAAATTGTATTGTGGATGAGGTTTGGAGTTGCATTTCGCTGGCGGGAAAGTACGGATATATTAAAAATCGTTAAAGCAAAATAATATTGATATTTTATTAAGTTATTATAATCAGGGCAGAACCAGCATCAATTTTAGGGCTAATATTTTTAATAAAAAATAAAGTACATATAATTAAATGATATAAGAAAAAAATTAAAAAAAATATAAAGTGAAGTTAGAAACTTCTTAAAATTCAATTTATAAATCATTTTTAATATATTATATCAAAATATATGAAAATTATAAAATTTAATGACTCTGTATAACAATTTAATAAATTTTAAATTTTACTCTTATTAAATATACATATTTTGATAAATATTTTCTTTCACTGACATTTAATAAGGATAAAAAGATAAACTTATAATAAAAAGTCTATAATATGCCTTATAAATACAAATAAAAAACTCTTCTATTTTTAACGTTATAAATGGGATTATAAGAAATGTGTTAACTAATCATAAAAAAATATGATAGGTAATACTCTTATTAAAAATTTGTAGTTTTTAATTCTTATTCTAAAATTAAGATACCTTATTACATTTGCAACGGCACATCAAACATCAGATGTTGCATGATTACATAGTACTACATGTGAATGGGAGAAGAGAAACCTCAAAATTATTATCTCTGATAGAATATCATTGCAATTTCCTTTATAGATATATATATATATATATATATATATATATATTGAGTGGTGGAACTTGGCGGGGCCATGGCCCCCTCCAAGTATAAGGTAGTTCCACCACTGAATGTAATATTCTCAATATTATAGGAATATTTAATTTAAGATTGATTATCAATTTTTGGATAAAGACATCACTCTAATTTGAAAAAAATAATAATGATGATGATAATTTGTTTTAATAATTACTGAGAAAGATTTTGAATCTTTTGTTGCTACCCACACTATACCTCTTTGATGTCACCTGAGCTAACACATTTAATTTTATAAGTTAAGAGTCTCTTTTTCCTAACAAGAATACAATTGGTTTAATTTATCTTTTTTATGGGAGGTTAACTTAATAAAGAACTAAAGATGGGGTGTGGAGTTCAATAATTGGAACCCTCATAATATTTAAAAAAAAATTCCGTGCAAAAAATAATATGTAATTTTTAAAGAAATATGTAAATATACAAATATATAATATCCAAGCATTTTAAAATATTACTTTAATAAATAATGAATAAACAATAAGAGAATACTTGATTTCATACTAATGTCAAATAAATAATAAATAAGTACTAATAAGATATTTTCATTTTATATATAGGGAGGATGATAAATGAATCCTGCCAAATAAACAAATGAAAAAGAGTACCACAAAGTGAGATAATTATTTTGAAGTTTTTGGGAACTTATTTGACATAAATTTTTTTGTGAAATTACGTTTTTATCCTTCTGTAAAACAATATAAAGTAAGCTATTTGTCACTTGATGCTTAATTTTAATAATTTCCCTATGCATTTTCACATTCAAAGTAACCAGTGACCTATAGACCCCCACATTTGACTAGTGGTACAATAAAGTTGCAGAAAATTAGTTTTCACTTGCTACTTAATTTTAGCCAATGGCCTTATTGAAGTAGTCAATTTCGGATCTGAAGTTGTCAATGACAATTTCAGATGCGGAAATGACTACTTTAGATAAAAAAATGACTAAAATTAAGTACCACATGACAATTAACTTCATGCAACTTTTTATATTAGTCAAGTGTAAGGGTTTGTCACTAATTAGCAACTACTTCAAATAGAGAAATGACTCAAATTGCATAGCAAATGACAACTAATTTTTTCCTTTGATTTTTCATAGGGTCACAATAATTTTGGAAAAAAATTATGTCAGTTAAGTTCTTAAAAACTTCAAAATAATTATCTCGTACTCTTATCATTTAGCCATTTATATTGAATTTACTTGTTCTCCTTGAAATAAATTGATTCTTTAGTTCCCCTGCCCCCCCGCCCCCGGGGGGGGTCGTCACTCATTTGCTTGGTTGATGATCATGGGCATGGAGTATGAAACTTTAAGAGGCCCTCTCATTTATTTAGGTCCTGCCTTACCTGTCTAACGGGCAGTCAAAGGGAACTAGGACCTATTGAATTCATATAAATGGAAAAAAATAACGTCCATAAGTATGAACAAATGCAAAAAGAGGATTCATAAAAATGGAACGAACGTACAAAGCTTTCGGAGACCAGAGGAAACATATCCATTTCTCATCTAGCAATTTACAAATGTATGTTCATTCATTCCCACTACCTTTTCAGCAGGGAATACTTCAGACAAACAAACATTTACAATTGAACAAGACGGAGAAAAAATAGGGGCAAAAAGAAGAAGAAGAAGAAGAAGAAGAAGAAAAGGGGGGGCATTCCCGTACAGGTCAAAACCCAAAAAGCTAGGACTGCAAAAATTAAAAACCGAGGAAATGGAGGGAGGGAAAAAGAGACGCCTTTGCTCTCTTTCTCTTGAAGTAATGATGCTAATGAGAGAAGGAAAGAAAACGAAAAGGAGATCGATACCCTAGTCCTTACTAACGTTGACCTCTAACGTTGACAACCCTATGCATCTTAGTTTGGCGAGTCTGATGTAGACAATCTGCTGATGAAAGGGGATATAGCTGCAAGCAACGCCTTTGGACATTCTTCATGCGGTAGATGGCCACATCCAGATATGGCAACCAGTCTCTGCATGTTGATTGGGCATCAGGATTTAGGACAACAGATCACAGAGACAAGGCAGAAATTATGTTGCATGCTAAATGCTAGAATAATTAAAGGAAAAATAACAATAAAGTCCCACAAGACCAAATTAATAACAGTTAAGTTCTGACAAAATTTTCTAAAAAATGAGTTAAAAATATTGATTCAGAAAGTTGCAAATAAGAACTCCAATTACAAACTAAGTTACATTTACAATTTAATGTCTTATCAGTAATCAAAACTCTTGAATTTATAATTATTTAAATCAATATTTGCAATTTAATTTTCAAAAAATTTTATTGGAGACCTAATTGTTATTAATTCCCTCTTTTAGAACTTAATTGCCATCCTCCCTAATTAAAATCTAATGAACCTACTAGCATTCTATTTCAATAATCATTAATGAAGGGTGTAGTTGCTAGTGCTAGGAATAATATCATGATTACTTGGACGCGATACAATATTGTTGAGATACATTCTTCTTTTATCACTTTCTAATTAATGCCATTTATGATGCACTCCCTTGGTACACTGAAAATTGTTCAGAATATATGAAAATATGGTCAAAGAGGGATACTCACAGAATTTACAAGTTTTGAGGCCATAGTTTGGCAAGAGCTGAGAGAGACAAGGGAATCTTCAGCACCAGCAATCACCAACACTGGCACATCTCCCACGGCCTGTAACAATGATTCTGTGTCTTTTGCTGAATGTATGGTTTCAGATGACAATTTTCCAATCTCATGAAGAGCTTCATCCCATCCTTCTACATATAGTGGAGCCTAAAATAGCAAAGAACAGTTATATACATATATACAGCAAACAAGCGTCAAAAGAACCTGGAAGTGAATGCATCATTATAACATGACTAAACAAGCAATCAGAAGACAGACAGATATCACATACAACAGTTGCAAAAGGAGATTCAATGACTAAATAAACAAGAAAAGCAAAATGATTTCGAACCCTCCATTACACTCCCTCAGGAAAAATGTAGAAGGTAAAAAGAACCTGCAAACGAAGATATACATTTACTATAACAAACTCCATACAACAAAGCAGAAAACATATGTTTCGAAGCAAAATGTTCGTTCCAAGACAATATAAGTTTCTGAGATCATAATATAGCATTTATCTGTAGATTGAAAAATAAGTTCAACCAATTATCAAGGAACAATTTCTGGTCATTCTATGTAATAATTATCTTTGTTGCTTGAAACTTACAAGAAGACTGAGAACTTCCTTTTCGTATCAGAAGAAGGAATTAAGTACCTTGTAGAGGCTCAAAACTTCTGTTGTCAGCTTGGTAGAATCATACCAAGCACGCCGATTCACTACTTGAGTGATTTCTATTCTCAATAAAGGGCGAACTAAGTGCTTCTTTCCAAGTGATGTATGCAGAAGGATCCTTGCAAACGAAGGAACCACTTCTCTTGACAAGTTAACATTTAGCAATACAACCCCTTTGATGATAACCTGAATTATACAGAAACGAACTTAGACTCCATCATATGCATAATAGGCACTCACTGCAAAACGTAAAATTCACGTGCAATTAATACTCAGCTTGCACAGGACAACTTCACTGGGCATCATATATGGACAAAAACAGCGTAACCAATAGCAAGTAATACATAAAGAATAATGCACCCAAGTTATCATGGTTAAGTAATTCTTCATCCACATAATCCAGTTTTATGCCTTTTGTTTTGTAGCCTAAATGCATTTTGAATTTTAAGGCGGGCGTTGCACTTGAAGAGCCACGGGTGTGAACCCGGAACCTAGTTCCACAAACGCACAACTTGGTACCACTAGACCCAAGAGTCTCTGGTGCATAAATGCAACTGTAATAGTTGATATGTCTGTGTGTGTCGACATTTTGTTAGTGTGCATGCATGCCAATCCACATGCTACAGAACTAGCGATTATTAACCAATTATTAACCATACAGGAAATAAACAGTTTGGTAAATGTGACCAGGCCAGAAAAATTGTCATGAATTAACACTAAGCAATGTGATGATGCCCAAAAAACAGTGGACGAGTCAAAGGCCTCAGACCTTGAAATCTCCTTTTCTCTCCAAATATGATGATGCCACAACCAGCAGCAGCAGCAGCAAGCCATATGCCACTAAGTGGGGAAATTGGTTTAGGGATCCACCAAATTGGGCAGCCTTAACTGTATGTGTGATAACAGGAAAAGCCCAAAGGTTGTTCCCATCCCTGTCAGGGGAGATGTCAACCATCTCTCCTTTAGAACACAAATAAAATGCCACTAGCATAGCAAAAAAAAAAAATGACGCCCCAAGCATAGCAAAAAAATTGCCACTAATAGCCATTCTAATTTTCTGACTTAGAACTCATCATTTATCATACAATTTAATCTGTCAGCCACTAATAGCCATTCTAATCCATCACAAACAAGACAAGTAAAGCACAGAATTCACATTATTACAAGCTACTGCGAATTTAAACAGATGCTGTTGCTGAATTTCCTATTTCTTATCATTCTTACAAATCAAATAATTGTGTGATTAAATAGGAAATCAGGCCTGCCTTACAGGCAACTTGAGCAACTTTACATCTAGGTAAAATCAAAGCTGCGTTTCATCTCCACACACCAAAAAAATAACCAAATTTATTGTGTTATCTACCTATTACAGAAGAGTAAGAAGTAATCTCACATTAGAAGAATTCATTGATGATTGAACTCTTTGTGCAGCCTTCAAAGCAAGCAGCCCTCCATCGTCATGACCAATAAGCACCACAGAAGAGAAACCAATCTCAGAACAAAATGATAAAAGCAGGTCAACCTGAAAATGCCAAATCATATAAAATCTAATTTCAGATGAAATCTAGCACAGATGCAAAAGTAGCAAATGAAAATGACAATAACAATACAACATCTACAGGTCAATATACCATGAACAAAAGGCAAACAGCTTCACTACTGCATATCTACTGCTAGCCCCCCTGTCTCATTCAACAACACTTTACTCCTTCACCAGTTTCAGCATTCAACACTCCAAAACAACATCCTTTTTTTTTGGATAAAAAAGCACTAATGCACTGTTAAGAACAAGAAAAAAATAATAGCTACACACACTAAGCTATTAGCCTAGGAAGCCAAAAGTAGATTCTCCATTCTAAAAGGGAACCATTCTGATCATACTATGAATAATGAGCTTGGCCAACATCTTAGTTATTTTGTCAAGCCCATGAGGAAGAAAAGAATGCATTCATCACAATAATAATGATAAGGGCTGATCACCTGACTATCAAGCTTATATGGATTAGGTAAATCATTTTCCTCCCACTCCGTTCGACGAGGCCTTGATGTTAGTCCCCAGCCAGGCCTGTCAAATGCAGCAACTGCGCAATTACTTTGTCGAGCAATGGATCCCATAACATGCCTCCAAGAGAAGACGCCTCCACCAAACCCATGCACTAGAACAACACCTAATTCTCCAGTAGTGGTGCCATCCAATTTTTTATCCAAATACATAGGATCAAATTTATTAGTTTCTTCATGTATTTTTTCTAGGCACAAAGCAGGTATGTCTTCAGAAATAGCAGGAGAAGTCATAGGACCATCCAAAAGTGGAGTATGCAGAGATGAGCAATGGAACTGATTGCTATAGCTCCTTTGGAGTTGCCTCTGGATGTTTGGAGATATACTTGTCAAATGCCTATTAAGTTTAGCAAATCCCCCAGCCGTTGATGAAGTGCTGCAGCAAGAATTTGGTTCAATGATGGATGCAGACGACAAGGTATGTGACAGCGAACCAGGCAAGCTGACTTTGTAATGGACAGTAAGTCCTTGACATTTAATGAATAAACTGTCAGAGTCTGCAAGTAATTTGAGCGGCAGTTCTTCATCACAAGTTGTCCCAAAAGGTCTCCGTCTCATTTCACCGTCACTTTTTGGGGTTTTCACTCCACAAGGAGTAGGAGATCGTGGGACCTTCTGGTAGCAGGAGAAAACTTTGCATGAAAGTACCTGCTTAATTTGGCATAAAGGTGGTGCACCAAGCACACTATCAGAACCTCTTACCTCCAGAAAACCAAAACTACAGAAACAATTTACTAAGCATAACCTCAAATTAAAAGGGAGAAAGATAGCTATCACAGACTTACAGCTTCTGGATCAACCCGGTGAAACAACAGCTTTCTCCGCGCTCTGCAGCTGGTTCGATAAGCTACCACAGTGTGTCCAAGGGCAAAAACAACTGATGAAAGAAAGAGTACAGGCATTCCCCATGACTTCTTCAAATGAAGTCTCTGCTTTGAGAGAGAAGCTGAAGCTTCAGCTTCGATGTGAGAATTTAAAGTGAAAACACAAGCTTTTACTGAAAGAAGAGCAACTGAGAGAAAGGAACTCAGAGACACAGTTCCAAGGTAAGGACCGTGTGATAAAGCAGGGCCGTCGCAAATGCTATACACACCTGCAAATATGAAAGAATGAAAAGATTAGGCTGGAAATAACACGAACAAAATTATAGATCGGATCCACTCGTTTCCCTCGACATATTCAGCACATCTAATTCCACACATAAAGGATATAAAGTGAGAAATATAAAATTCATTATGCAATGTGTATAGCGCTAACAAAATTTTAGTGAGAGAGGATAAAACCGATGAAATACTGTCGCTTCCATCAATACGGAAGTAAGATTACTCCCATATTCTATCACGTAGCTACTATCAAAAAGTAAGAAAAAGAAGAAACAATTGAGCTTGAGATTTGTGATTAACTTGAAGATGAGTATCCGGGAAAAAATATAAAATTACTTTATAAGTTTCTTTCAACATGTCAACAGCATATGAGAAATGATTTCGAAACTTATCTCCTTATTTCCACAACTCAATCATCGAACAAACGAATGGTTGGGTAAAGAAGTTAAGCAATGTATCCCCCACGACGAAAAGGAAAAGCAATTCAATTCTTCTAATTTAGAAGTATAGCATTACTTTCACATTCCTGCAAATACCAGCCCCAGAGGGATCATGATGCCCCAAAAAGGTGAGCAAAGTACCATAAAGAAGGGGAAAAAATACAGAAGATAATCATACATATAATGATGAGAGATCTTATGATAGAAACGAGAGGAATGTCTGTCAAGGAACTTCTGAATGTGTATCGACGCAAATGTTCTCTAAAACCGTAACACCTCACGCACGTAAAGCTGGAGATCAAAACACAAGGTACCAACACATCAACCACCGCCACGAGCACCGGCAACGATGTAACCAGCAAGGACGTTATCATTGCCACCATGAAGAACAGCGTCCAAATGCCCCTCCGAACCTTCTCGAAGCATTGCCCTCCCTTCGCCATAATTAAGTAAACCAAGAAAACTCCGGCGATCGCAACACGTGCTGACGAGGCGGTTATGATCGTTTATTTTCCCAATTGATTAATCAGACAGAGATCTATGATGGTAAGGCCTCAACAGGCAACAAAAACCCTAACTAGTAACAACGTAGTGTTCTCCGTCAGAGGCTCATCTGACATTTCCGGCGAGCAGAAGAATAGGAAGTTGAACGTTGGAGAAATGATTGCCCGTGAAGAGGCGAAGAATGCTGCGGAAGATGGAAGTGAACTAGGGTTACAGAAAGACTTTGTTGAAGGATCAAAGCAGTCTTTGAGATTTTCAAAAGGTTTGAAATCTCTGCCTTTCTCCTCCAACCTCTTTCTTTCTCGTTTTCTCTTCCTTTCTTTCTGTCTTCCTCCTCTGTGCGTGCTCCTAGTTGGTTTCTTTGGTCTCTGTATTTTATTTTTCATTTTTCATTTTTTTATGAATAATATTAAAAATTTGAAAACAGAGAACCATGTTGCCATTAGTAAATTAATTTAAATCGAATTAAATTAATCAAATATTTGGTGTCCGTTAACCAAGAATCACGAACAATTTTGGGCTTTTGCACCCAGAAAACATTTTTTATTCTGTCACAAATGATGAAGTCAGTTGTCGGGCCAACAAATGAAGTCAATTGTTTTAAAAAAACTTCGTAGGTATGTTTTGTGTTTTTTTAATTACGTCAATAGTCCCTTTGCTTTTCAAGGTTAAAAAAAAAAATTAGTCCCTTTGCTTATATTTCAATTTTTTATTTGATTTTGAATTTTTAATAACCTGCCTTAATTTTGATGAATTTTTGCACTTAACTTATATAAATATTTATTTTATAAAAATTTTATTAGCTGAAAAAGTTTTGAATTAGCAATATTTCACAATTCAATACTTAAAATGCAGAACACATTAATATTTTTTAGGCCTGATAATTCATATTAATATTAATATTAATATTTTTTGAATGATGCATGCAAAATTGAACCATAGCATACAAAATTTTTCAATATAGGAAATCTTGAATAGTGATATTTATTCTTTGAATTTTCTGAAATGTAACAAAAGTTATCTGAATTATTTTTGTTTATAAAAGATCTCAAGAATTGGAAATCTTTGTTGCGGTACAAAGTTATTTAAAAAAAAATTGACACATGACATTGAGGCTACTTGCCTTTTATTTTTTTTCGGCCACCAACTTGTATTTATTTAATTTGTTTTTTTTTTTTTGCCAAGCTATTTATTTAAAGTTTCGTACAAAAGAAATGACATGAATCATTGTCTGCAACCACGCAAGATATCTTAATAAAATCACATGAAGAATATTTAACTTTTAATAATAATTAATAAAATAGTCGTGGGTCTCCTCTGCTCTTTTATTTTATTTTATTTTTCAGAGTCGTCCACTATTATTATTTTAATAAATTTAGGAGTTCAAAGTTCATCTTGAGCCCAGAATTCGTCCTAATTATCATTTAAAAACTTTTATTCACGCATGTTAAGCACTGGGCGACCAAAAACTAATCATCATATCTTAAAGAAAAACACTAATCATCGTCGTCATTATATGTTAAAGTCACATTAGTAAACCTCTTGGACTAGAGAAAAAAAAATAGTAAACTTTAGAAGCATTCAAAAATATTTTTTTAAAGTTGGCAAAAAAAAACTATTTGTAAAAAAAAAAAAGACAAGACAAGTAGAAGTTTGAAATAGTCTAACAATCTTTCTCAATCACATCGATAAAAAAAAAAATCTTAATCACAACTTAGAATTTTATATTTCCATGAATTTGTTAGCATACAAGTAATGTTAAATAATATTCCCTCCTGTTTGTTTTTATTAGTGATTTTTTTAATTTTTATATAAGTCACTTTTTTTATTTTTCATAACCTTTGATGTATATTCAAAAAATGTGCTTTAAAAAATTATTAAAAGAAGTGCAATATTTTAAGTTTTTTAAAATTTGGAGGCCAGAGTAAATTATTTTCAAGATATTTTTATTATTTTAACTGACTCACCTTAATTCTGGTGAGTATAGTAAAATAACATTTTGATATGATAACTCTATTATAAATGAGACGTGACGAGTTTGATCTTGCCCATTACCTCAAATTACTTGACTGTGCTTGTAAGTAGAAGAATAGTATAGTGGAATATTATGTATTTTTCATGATTCATGTTATATATTTTTATGATTCTTTACAATTGGGACATGAGATTAATTTGTTCCTTCAAAAAAAAATTAAACACGAAAATGTAAACATAAAAAAATTAATTATTGCACAAAGTCAAAGTTGATGAAGAGAAGGGAAGTCTTAAGGACAAAATCACATTATTAAAGTTCAATAATAAGTATTATTGCAAAATGCCAGAGTTGATAGCGAGAGAAGGAAAGCTTTGAGACAAAATTGCATTATTATTAAAGTTTAATAATTAACATATAACTTAAGTATTTAGCATGCTTCACCACACTAAGCAAGATGACTGGCTCAAACAAAGGAAACACGGGATCAACACGGAATTATACCATCTAGAACCTTTCATTATTTGCTTTAATTTTTCTACACACATACAAATCAATTGGGAATAAAAAAGTGTTTGTACAAAATTATTTCAATATGCCATTCGTACGGTTTCAACTTTGAACACCATAAACAGTAGACTTCGAAAATGTTGAAATTCTAATAAGGATTAAATCGTAAATTAAATTGCCTCTAAATTATATGCTTAAAGCATATAAAATCCTACATCATTTTTTGTCCAATGTTTCATTCTAATTTTTAAAAATGATAAAATATCATCCATTTCATTAATGAAAGTTAACTTTAATTATTAGTTAATCAGAAAATAGTAGTAAAGAATGACATAAAAAATTCAAAAAAATGCCTTTTATCCTTTTTTGTAACTTTTTTAGTCTTTTTGTATAATTTTTTAATCATTTACTGTAATTTTCAAATTATGAGAATTATAGTAACATGCTTTCAAATTTTAGAGCAGGTAAAGATAAGGATTATAGTAATATGTAATACAAGTTTTTTCAAATTATAATCTCTACTTTGGCTTGGGCAGGTCACATGGTTGAAATCATATAATTTTTTATATAAAATAAATTAAAATAAATAGGAGTGAATGAGAATCCGGTATTCAAAGTCAAACAAAAACATTGAATCCCGTCTGCAGAAAACAACACCGAATTCCAAGAAATTTTCCATGCAATGGACTTGAGAGAAGCCTCCGGAGAAAAACCTGAACTGTCCAAAAAAAGAGAAGCTTCCTCTACTTCTTTTTTAAGATAGAAAAAAATTTAAACGGTTTAAATTTAATATATTTTATTTTTTGATTTTTTATTTATATTTTTTAAAATATATATATATATATATAAATTGTAAATTTTTTAATAAATATAAATTTAATATAGATGATTTAAATTTAATATAAAAAATTTAAATTGACTTTTGAAATATATTCTAGACAATTATGAATAGAACAGTAAATTTATTAAAAAAATTTAATATTAAATTTAAATTATCTATATTAAATCTAAACTATTAGATTAATAAGTATATTTATTAAAAAATTTATAATTTTATATATTTTTTATTTTAAAAATATAAATAAAAAATAAAAAATATAAATATTAAATTTGAGCTATCCGGATTAAACCTCTGCCTCAAAAGAGAGGCAAAGGATGCTTCTCTCAAAGGAGAGAAGCTGAGTCCATTATCGGCGGAAGCCACCTCCTTATGGGTCCCACATTAAATCTTCTTAAAATACACTGGCTAAAATACAGTTAAATATTAAATATATAAATTTTTTTCAACAAAAAATAAAAAAATAATTTGTTATGTTATAAAAAATTAGATATTTGGACTAGATCAAATGCTATTGATAAATACTATCAATTTATGAATAACATTTTTTTTAATTTTTTTTTTTGCCTATCACACATAGTGGGATGAGATTTATTGTTATTTATTTTAATTTTTTTATTTCATCCGTTAAAAAAAAGGAGAACTTGGGATTAATCAATTTAAATTAGGTCCCAACAAATTTTAAAGTGGCAAGCTTTAGGAATTTATAAATTTGACTTTTAATTTTATAACTTTGTTATAATGAATTTATTACTTGTTTTAAAATTTTAACATTATTAAAAAATAAATAATTTTTTCCTGTTCAAATTTGAAATAAAAATTGTAAATTTATTATAACAAAGTTATTAAATGAAGAGTTAAACTTGAAAATTTTTTAAGGTTTAATACGTTGAAATTAGTTTAGACTTAATTTAAATTAATTGATCCTCTTGAAATTTATTTGCCATTCTCCATTAAATATATCTTTCTATCTTTCTTATCAAATGAAGAATATTTTTAAAACATTTATAAAAAAATTAAGATTCCAAATCATATTTAATTGATTTATTGATATTCATAATTTTATTTAAAATTTCTTATAAAATGGAGTAAAGGAATTATTGATTATGTGCATTTACAAATTATAATTGTAATGTGCGTGATCGGTTGATATATCCTACAGAACTAGCATTGTCCTGTGCAAATGGACAAACCTTCCATTTTTTGGGCTTAGTAAGTAAGAAAGATGACTCCACTTCTGCATGATATATCATATGTGAATTATTATCTGATATATTATATTATACCTAGCTTTTGTCAGACGTTTAATTAAAGAAATTTGAGTTGTTTTTATTTCAAACTTAGCTACTTCCATTAAATCTAACTTGACTATATTTATTTTTGGTTAAAATATATAAAACTTTTCTTAATTTTGATATAGTTGCTAGGAAAATTCTCATATTTAAAAGTTTAAAATTAACTTTTATTTTTTTTAAATCACAGACTCTCCTACTATTATTAAATGTTGAAAAAAGAACTTATGTGACATTTGATATGAATTAATAATAATAACACAAAAATTAGAATTTTTATAAACTAATAATAATAACAAAAAAGAACTTCCAGTGAATGCCGCCTAAACTATTAGGTGTTTTTTTTTTAATAAGATGTACTGGTAAGATAATTCAAAAAAATAATTTGAGAGTTTGTGGTTTAAAAAAAAAATATGATGAAGGTTACTTTAAAAAGCGAGGAGGTTATGTACAATTACCTCAAATTTTGGGAAAGTTTTGTATATTTTAATCTTTATTTTTTTTCATTAAAATCACAAATTCAGCTTAGCTATACATCTATATGATTGTAATTTTTTGGCCATTTTATTCTTTGAAATATTATTCCGATCATCATCTAATGTATAATTTGTCCTTCAGGCTCGAATTTACTCTGTCCTTGTCTCCTGGTCCACAACGGTCCTTTTTTTTTTAAAAAAAAAAAAGAATTCCTTTCGCTTTGCAAAAGTTCATGTTAATATAAAAATAAAACTT